AACTGGTGACCTTTTGGTTCACAGGCCAGCGCTCAATCCACGGAGCCGCACCAGCCAAGGCCCGATTAAAAAGTTTTAAAATACCATCGCAATCGCAGCACAAAACATAAAATACTTACAGATACACTTACTGGAAGCTGTGTAAGCGGAGAGATGTTTTAAAGACCTAAATTAGGGGTTCACAGTCTGGAAGATGCAGCGCAGCTGAGACGTCGCTTTCAACACAATCCCTGACCCAACCCCAGCGGGGGTTTTGTGTGTGGAAACTGACAGGATCACTTTAAAAATTCATTTGGAAAGACAAATGACAAAAAATAGACCAAACAGTCTTGAAAAGAAAGCACAAAGTTAGAGGATTTCAAACGCATCAAGACTTAACTACAGCTCAAGACTGGAACTGGCAAAGAAAGAGTTGTCCTGGTCTCTCTGAGATGGATTAGGATCCGGAAACAGCCTCACACACCTACCATGAGATCATGTTTTGCAAGCGTGCGGACACAATTCAAGGAGGTGCAGGAGACCTCTTCAACCCATGGTACGGCACCAAGGCTTATGCCTGGGAAAAGAGAGCCCTGAACCTTACTTTGCATCGTTTATAAAAACCGGCCCAAGGTGGACTATGAGCTCGGCCGCGCGGCTCAGGCGGGCGCAGCGTCCCCCCGGGCACCAAAAGGCCGTGGGCTCAGCCCCCGCTCAGAGCACCTCCAAGGAGCAGCCAACCGATGTCTCTTTCTCTCTCTCTTCCTTCCTCTCTCTCTCTCGACTCAACAAACGGATCCTCAAGTGAGGATTTAAAAAAAAAAAAAATGTTAAAGATGGACTGTAAACGTATAATGATTAAATTGTTAGAAGAAAACATACAAGAATGACCTCACGATCTTGGGGCGTATTTGTTAGAGAAGACAGCACCGCCGGCCTTCGACAGAGAGGCCGCCAGAGAGCCCTCCAGCAAAATGGGTTTGTTCCAAAACAACGAAGAACCGCCGCTCGGGACTTGCAGCCTCGTGGGGAGCCCCGCGCGAGCCCCGAGAAACAAAGGAGGGAGCCCGCGGCGGGAGGGCGGGCGGGGTGAGCTGTCCCAGCAGGTGCTCGCGGGGCTGTGGGGCCGGCGCCTGGCACAAGAGCCCCCCTCGGCCTCCCTACTTCATTTTAAATGAGGTTCCAGCTTGTTAATTTGTGCATTTCCCCTTTTGATCAAGACCTTTCTCTGCCCTGGCTGGTGTGGCTTAGGGGACTGAACCACTGAGTCTGGGAACCCAAGGGTCACGGGTTCGATGCCCAGTCAGGGCACACGCCTGGGTTGGGGGCCAGGTGCCCACTCGGGGGCAAGAGGCAGCTGCACATTAATGTTTCTCTCCCTCTCTCCCTCCCGTCCCCTCTGCCGAAAAGTAAATGAGTAAAATCTTTAAAACAAATTCTTTTTCTCTGAAAGCTTCTCCGATCAAGAGACAGGCGGTTGCCGGGGTCAGCAGCGGGTGCCCCTCCGGCCCGGGGGAGCATTTCCGGGTGCCGGGTCCCACCTGGGAACGCGCACAGGCTGCGGGGCTACCGAGGTCCCGACCGAGGCCACGTGTGAGCGGCAAGCGCGGCAGCAGGGAGACCCGGCGGGCGCTCTCCCTCTGAAGCCCACGCGTCGCCCCGGTCCCCGTCCTCCGCGCAGGGGGTCGGCCCCAAAGGACAGCGTCCCGCGGCCCGGCCCGCCCCCCGGGAAAGCCGGGGCGCCGGGGGTCTGGTCAGGTCCCTCTCAGCGGCCGTGGCCGGTGCGGCCAGCCTGGCGCTTCGGTCAGACAAGTGCTTCTGTCCGAATTGCGGGGCTGCCGCCGCCTGGGGGCGGGCCGCCCGGCTGCTGTGTGCCTGGCAGGCACCGTTCCGCTGAGAGCGAAGACAGTCTGGTTTGGTTTTGTTTTGTTTTGTTTTGTTTTGTTTTGTTTTGTTTTTTTGAGGTGTCTTTCCCAGAAAACAGGGTCTCCAGGTCGTAGAGTGTGGGGTTCAGGGTTTTCATCTCCTCGGAGCACAGCACGGCCACCTTCGCTGAGAGCAGCTGGCTCCTCCCGATGCTGAAGGGCTCCTCAGGGGCCTCGGGAAGCCTGGGGTGCCAGGAAGCCCCTGTGGTCCCCTGCAGCGCTGGCTCCGCCCACGCCTCGAACCTGGGACTGGGCCGCAGGGGGCTGTGTTCCCCGGGGGGCCCTCAGTGAGCAGAAGGCGTCTTCCGGGGCGGAGGCGCCAGGGTAGCCACTGGCAGGACAGTGCCGCCGTCAGAGGGCTCGGGTCGAGGGGGCGGGGCGCGCAGGGAGACCGAGGCTGCTGGCCCGGGACGGGGGCCGTTTCCTGCCCTCAGGAAGGCTCCGGCGAGGCGTGAGTCAGCTCCCGGAAGGGACCGGCTTCCCGCTGGGACGGGGGCCAGCACGTCCAGGGGCGTCCGGGGAGGGCCGCGGGGTTCCTGCTCGGGGTCCTCGGCTTGCTGGCTGTGCCAGGGGCGAAGCAGACGGTCGCGGGGGCCGGTGCAGGGCCGAGGCCTGGTGGCTCTGTTTGAACCTCAGCAGGAGGGGCGCTGAGGATTCTGCCGAATCCACAGCTCCTGTCAAACCCTAGGGGCGCGCTCCCCTTGGCAGAAATTCCAGCGTGAGACTCCCCAGCCTGATCAGCAGCCGGGCTGGGGGACTGAGGGGCGAAGGGCGGGGCGGGCGCAGCAGCCTGTGGGCCTCGCTGGGGACCCCGCGGCTGCTCCGAGGCGGGGGGGGGGGGCGGGCGGGGCGTGGCCCTGGAGTCAGCGGGACAGGGACAGGCCCCCACCGGGAGAGCGGCTTCCCTGAGCCGACGGGGCTTCTGGGGGACCGACCACGTCCTACTTCTTGACCTGGATGGTGCCCACCTGGGGGCTCATTTGGTGGTAAAAACTTAAATATGTGTTTTGCTTGAAACGCCTTTCTTGCGGCACGTAGTGTCAGACAGCAGCCACCCTTCCCAAGAGCAGGCAAAAAGTATACGGTTTCCAGGGATACGTGACAAAGACAAGCAAGGCCTGTCCGCAGAGCATCGCCAAGGCCCTCTGAGGCGCACCCTCAGCCCCCGAGAGCGAGGCGCCGTCGGGGAGCCAGTACCCCCAAGTCCGCGGCAGGGCATGGAGTTCCCATGAACCCGCAGAGGGTTTTCAAAGGATTTGACAAAATCAAGCTCTGGGGACAAAAGCCCAAGAAGAGCCGGTGACTCTTCAAGGACACGGATGTCCCACCGGCTGTGGCGATGTCTGCGGACCCACGGGCAGCGCCGCGCTGGCCCCCGGGGCGGGCTCCAGGGCGCTGCCCCGCCCGGAAGGTCCTAGACCTGCCCATGGGAGGCCGGGCAGGGGTCGTGGGCAGAACGGCCAACCCGCTACGGAGAAGGACGGAAGGCCACGTGGGAGCCTCTGCCCCGAAGAGCAAGGAGGAAGAAAGGAGACAGGTGGGAAAACGAGGACAACTGGAAGGCAACGCGAGGTCACAAGGAAGCTCAAGCCCCTGGGTCTGGCCCCTCGCCCGCCTTGAAAATGCGCCTGCACGGCAGGGCTGCACGCGGCCCTCCCGTGCCGGCGTCTGGTCGAGGCTCCCGCCCCCAGCCGCCGCCCAGCAAGTGCGGTCAGGGTGGATGAGGCGGGGCCGTCGACACAGCCCCGGGCCCGGGCCTGGCCACCGCGCCGGCCCCCAGGGAGCCTCGGCAGCAGGGGGCGACCTGAGGGCTGGGGGCCAGACGCCAGTGCCCTTCCGTCCTGCCCTGAGCCCAGGGCCAACGTGCCCGCTCCCCGGCAGCCGCCGAGATCCCAGATGCAGGGACCCACCCCGCCCCCTCAGCCAGACCCCGGCCCAGGTCCGCAGATGGCGGGGCTGCAACCACGCAGGGAGCCGGCCTGTGAGCTGCTCCAGGGAACAGCCCGGTGGTCCCGAGGGCAGGGGTCCGGCCGAGTTCCGAGGTGGGGGACACACTCAGTCTCCTGCTGGGTACACTCGGGACCTCCTGGAGAGCAGAGCTTCCGGCACATTCCGCTTCACCGTGGTGGTGCCCCCGCTGCGAGGGCTGCTCCCGTCCGCGCCCCCCTTCGGGACTTGTTGTCTGGTTGTTGGCGTACTGTCCTCTGGGCGTGTATCCGCCTCCCGGCGCGCGCCCCAGCACAAGGCCAGGCGCCCCTCTCCCGCGGGCAGGGCACAAGGTAAGGGCGGTGCGGAGACGCAGGACCTGCCCCGCGGCCACCAGGCGGCAGCACTGAGCCGCCCTGGGCTGGGCTGAGGCAGAGGGTGGCGGCTGCTCGCTGGCTCTCGGGGAGTCGTACACACAAAAGGCGGCTGCAGAGCAGGGCCAGGCGAGGCGGGCAGGGGCTGGGGAGGGTCCAGGCAGGCAGGGGCGAGCCCCTCTCAGGCCTGGGACACAGTGGGGCCGGGGTTCTCCTCCTCTGTCGGAGGCTAAGATGTGCACTTGGATGCCTCCCTGGAGCAGGCCGGTGGCCAAGGCAGGGGGACCCGAGGCGTCAGGACTCCCCACATGGGCCACCTCCCGCCTCTGTGCCCTGAGAGCCCCCCTCTGGAGCATTCAGGAGGTTCCACCGGATGGCTCACCGAGTGGACACACCCCCACGCCGTGGCCTCCTGGGCCTGAGGCCACTGGAAACGCAGGCAGTCCCCGCGGTGCCTGGGGCTGCAGAGCAGCCAGGCCTCTGCGCCCCCGGGGTGAGCCGTGAGCAGCGGGGGCACGATGGCTGCTGCAGGGCCCTGCCCCAGAGCCGGAGGCACGTCCAGCCCTCCAGGGACCGGCGGCGTGCCCGTCCGTCCTCCGTACCACCGGGGCAGGCTGTCCGCCTCCTGGGGACACACGCAAGTGCTGAGGGATGCGGCCGGGTTCCCCGAGGGGCAGGCTGGGGGCCCCGGGGAGCGGGCATTGGAACTGTGAACCAGCAGGGTCGCCACACACAGATTTATTAGGGGCCTCGGGCCGGGGGCACATCCACAGGGTCTCTTCCCTCTACTGCCACCCAATGTGCGGCCGGGCCGCTAGCGTCCACTGCGTCCGGTGGCTCCTGCGCTACAAGAGGTTCACCTTGGCCACTACCTGCTTGCAGCCCGTCACAGCAAACTCGCGGCCAGCGACGCGGTAGTAGCTGAGCTGCTCGGCCAGGAGCTCAGCGCGGGCCTGCTCCGGGAAGAAGCCCTCGGCAGCCATCTCGTCCCGGAAGCAGCTGACCACGTCCCTCTTGTCCAGCAGCAAGAAGGGCACGACGGCCGCGGCCTGCCACAGCGGGTGCTCGCGGGCCAGGAGCGCCCTCAGGCCGGCACTCAGCTCCTCCTCGGCGCGGGAGCCGTGCGCGGGGCCGCCGGGGCGCAGCGGTCGCGGCACGGGCAGCGCGCGGGACGCGTTCTGCAGCACGAAGCGCGTGATCTCCGCGCCCCCGGCGCTGCTGAGCAGCACGTAGACGGCGTTGTGGAAGGGGCGCGCGCGCTGCGGCTGCAGGAAGCCGTGCAGCTCGTCCAGGAGCGCCGGCGGCATCAGCTCCACCTCGTCCAGCACCACGAACGGAGTCTTCTCCTCCACCTCGGCCTGCGCCACCACTGCGGCCACGCGCCGCGCCAGCTCCTCGCGGCAGGCCAGCGCGGCGCGCGGCTCGGGGCAGTGGTGCCGCACGTGGTACTGCAGCACGAGCTCGCCGTCCTCGAGCACCGCGCGGAAGTGGCGCGCCAGCAGGCGGCCCACGTGGCTCTTGCCCACTCCGCTGGGCCCATGAAGGGCCAGGAGCAGCGGGCGGCTGTGCATGTGCGTGGAGAGGTAGTCCCGCAGCAGCGCCACGATGCGCCCCACGGCGGCCGGCTGGCCGAACACAGCGCGCTGCAGCACCTTCTCCAGCCCGTCGAGGTCGTAGCGCTGCGCATTATCGTCCAGGTTCTCGATGGCGTTGAGCACCTGGAAGCCCACGATGGCCACGAGCAGCAGCAGGCAGCGCTGCGCGCGGCTCCGGCTCTCGGCGCGCGGCCGGCACTTGCGCGAGGTCTCGGGGTAGAGCACCACGCGGCTGCGCCGGCGCTTCTTGCGCGGCGTCCTTAACGACAGCTCCGCGGGGCTGTCGAACGTGAAGATCTGCGGCTGGTCCGGGTCCCCGCGCGACGCCGGGCGCCCCGGGTCCAACCCGGCGCCGGGCGTCAGGAGGCGCCTCTTGCGCAGGAGGCGCACGCGGCGGCGCAGGCGGACCACGGCGCGCAGCGGCGCCATCACGCTCCGGCCCGGGATACCGAGGGCCGGGGCCGCGGCCTCGGACGCGAGCTCCGCGCTGGGCTGGCCGCCGTCCATGGCGCCGGGGCGGCGCTCGGCATGCAGGTCGCCCTCCCTGCAAGAAGAAGGCGGGAGGGTCTTCAGACTTACCCCCGGCAGGCTGGGCCCCGGGGCCCCGAGCACGCACCGCGCTGGGAGGCCGGAGAGCGGCCGGGGCTGTTCCCGGAGGCTCACCCCCCGGACCAGGAAGCGGCTCCCTGCGGGGCCCCATGCAAATCCCTCGGGTCCTCCCACGAACAGCGCGGCCCCAGGGAGGTGGCTCGGGAGTGGGGGTGACCGGGCGCAGTTTATCGGGCGGCCGCCCAGCTTCCTGGAGGAGGGGTCGGCCTGCCCGCTCCCGGGGAGGGGGGGGCGGGGGGCAAGATCGGGCCCCGCCCCCGCTCGCAGCCCCGACTGCCCGACGCGGACACCACAAGGAAGCAGCGGCCCGACCCCCCTGGAATTGTGAGACACCCACACAATTAAGGACGCTTGAGGGGAGGAGGGGTCTGGCTGGAACTTCTGCTTTTCCGAATGGGCCCATCCCTGTCCCCAGGCAGATAGATACGCAAAAGCAGAAGGAAGGAAGAGCCACTGAGGGGACAGCTGAAGAGACGCAGGGTGCACACCCAGGACCCCCAAACCACCCCCATACCTGCAGCTGCGTCGGGCCAGGCTCCTGCTGGCCCCCCACCCCCGGGACAGCCCCCCGCCGGCGCAGACACCGAGGCCTGGGGCTCAGGAGGCGGAGAGCACGGGCTTCCCACCGAGGGTCAGGCTGGGGTCAGGGCGGGGCCTGGCTGGGCCAGCGTGGCCTGGAGGGGCAGTGGCACCTGCGGGTCCCCAGGGAGCGGTCCAGCGCGGAGGGAGCTGGGGGAGGTTTCCGCTTCTAAGCAAAGGAAGTGAGTCAGGGGTGTGTGGTGAGGGCGGGCCTTGGGCTGGACGCAGGCGCCAGACAGGGAGGCCGGCTGGCTCCCCGGGGCCCTGACCGGCGGTCACCCCCCTTTCCTGCCCTGCAGGCCCAGGGGATCTGGCGAGGCCCAGCGCAGCCCCTGCCCCAGGACCCAAGGGCCCTTTGCACCCAGGCCTGCCCTCCACATGCCCGCAACTCCCAGGGACGTCTCTGGACCCAACCTCTACAGGGCCCCTTGGGGAAGGGAGTCCCCGCACCCCACCCTGTCCTCTCTCCTGGCCCCTCCCGCCCCTCCCCGGACCCCAGTCCGGGCCCCCTGCAGCGCCTCCCTCTCCCGTGCCCCAGCCTGGAGCCGCCGGGACAGGGCAGCACAGCGGGTACCGAGTTCTATCACCGAGGCGCCAGCCCCAGGAGCGCAGGGTCCTGGGGGAGCACATTTAGGAAGAACTTGGGCCCTGTCCCACCCCCACCCCACCTGCGCAGACGGCCGGCCTGGAGGGTCCTCCCTGCCTCCCCCGATGGCCCGGGCACCTGCGCCATGCAGGCCCGGCAGCCTGCCCTGCCTGGGGTCCCCTCCGCAGAGGCCCCCGTCCCTTGGCAGCCTCCCTGCTGCACCCCTCCCCAGCCACCCAGGTCCCTTCCCTCCGAGTCCCGCGCTTGTATCGAACCCTGCACTTGTATGGGGGGGGGGGGCTGCCATGGGTTGGGGCTTCCCATCCTCGGGAACGCAGGGCGTTCCTGTCCGGCTGTCCGTCCAGGGCCCTCCGGCAGCATCGCCATGTCCCACAGCCCTGCTCCCCCGGGGCCCGCTCCCCACCCCAGGCAGGGGAGCCCCTGGGCACCTGGCCCGCCGTGTGGCCCAGGACCTGGGCAGGACACGGTCCAGGCTCAGCCCCAAGGCCCCCGCAGCAGGCTTCTTCCGTCCAGGCGAGGGCAGGGCGTCCGGCAAGCCTGTCTGGGTGGCCAGCCAGCTGCTCCTGCTGGAGGCTGGTCCCACAAACCCCATCCACACCCTCGGCCTGACAACCCCTCACCCACCGGGGCCTCCCGTCCCCTCCTCTGGGCGGGAGGGACTCGGCTCTGCCGACCCATCTGCGCGTCCGTCTCGGTCCTTCTTGACCTGGAGCCTCAGGGGCACGGGCAGGTCCCATCTGCTCCCCGGCTGCCCCCATGGCTGGGGTCCTCCGGGGCCCCGGCCTCCCCGGGAGATGGAAACAGCCAGCAGGGGACTCTGAGCGTCTGTACCCACAGACCTGCCTCCCCGGCCTGTGGCCCCACCCCCCAGTGACAGCTGGCCACTGCTCCCCACCCGTCATTTCCATCAGCACAAAACGCACTTCTTCCTAAAAAACGGAAGTTCTTCCTGAACGCCCCCCCTTGCTTTCCTCAGCCCCCCCTACACCTGCAGGGCTGCCCCCCTCGAAGTCCCTGGCCTCCAGGAGCAGGGCCCTCAGCATGTCACCGCTGGTGGGGGCAGTGAGGCCTGTGTGGAGTGGACTGTGTCCAACCCGGTGGCCTTGAGCAGCCCAGACAGGACAGCCACACACAGGCCCTCCCACCCTGACTGTGCCACCCCGGAGAAGGCACCCAGCCCCCCGCACCCCCCCCCCCCGGCACCACCGGGGGCACAGAGGAGCTCCTCCCTGATTCACCACAAGGCCTTTATTTACACAGGACCTCGCCCTGCAACAGCACCCGCTCCCAGGGAAAACCAAGACGCAGGCGGAGCCTGGGCTGCCCTCCGCCCCGCCCGACACACGGGTGCTGCGGGCCAGGGCAGGACAGCTCCCTGCTGGGCGTTCTAGGGCCGCGGCCGCCCACTGTCCCACCCCCAGGGGTCCTCAGTGGGGCCAGGCTGACCCAGCAACGTAACCATCCGTGGACAGCGGGTGGCCTTCCTGTCGCCGCCCCCGGCCCCTCCGGCAGTGGCGCCCCCGCTAAGACTGCACAGCCTCAGGCAACGGGACGCCAGGCTCAGGGGCCCCTGGGCAGGGGCCGTGCTTCGGGGACCAGGCTGGGCGCCGGCCTGGGGTGGTGATGCGGGTCCCCTCCAGGCACACAGCTTTCGGGACGCAGGTCAGGGTGGGGCTGAGGCACCGAGCGTGTCCCTGACGGCCGCGTCCCCGCCCGTCCCGCCTCCTGTGCCCAGGAGCACATCGCCGCCACCGCCGCCAGGAGGTGCGGGCCCCAGTGACCTGAGGCCAGGGAGCCCCTCCAGGCCCAGCAGGGCCCAGTGCCCCGCGTGGCCCCAGGGAAAGCGTCAGAGCCCGGCTGGGGCGGGCACGGAGGGGAGGGGCAGCTCGAGGGCCGGGGTCTCGGCAGCCTGCGCCGGGCTGGGCTTCCGGTGGTCCAGCCGCTCCAGCTTCTCGCCGAGCTGGGAGTAGAGCTCCTTCACCGCCTCTCCGCTCTGTGGGAAGCCCAGGGTTGTGGTCAGGCCCCGTGGTGGGGACACAGGCAGTGTGAGCCCTGGGTGGGCGGGCGGGCGGGCACCCACCTGGCCAGTGGGCTCCAGCGCCTTCTGCAGGGCCTGCAGGCGGGCGGGGGCCACACGCTGGTGCAGGTGGAGGAGCAGCCGCAGCACGTGCCGTTGCACGTTCTCCTTCCTGGAAGAGGCCAGAGTGGCTACAGGGCCTGGGGACCAGGACCGGGGACCGAACCTGCCCGGCCCTGCCCCGCCCACCGCAGCCTGGAACCTGGGCGAGGCCGTGAGCAGGAAGCCCTCGAAGAGGCTGCTGCAGAAGTCCTCCAGGGCAAACTCGTCAGCCAGGAGCGCCAGGTTCCCCGTGAGCAGGTGCAGGAAGATGTCCCCGAAGGCCAGGTCCCCGAAGGTCTCCGCTGCAGGCACAGCGGGCGTCAGCCAGCCTCTGCACCCGCCCACCCCCGCAGCGAACCCCGGGGGACAGGGCAGCACTGTGAGAGCGGGCTGCGCCCCTGCCCGGAGAGCCAGAAGTGGCCGGCCGGGTGGGCGCAGGGTGGGGCCTGGGCCTGAGCTGGGAGGCGGGGCTCCGGGGCGGCCGGGAGGGCGAGGGAGCCCAGGCACCGCTGGGCCGAGTGGCCTCCAGAGGACAGAGAAACAGTCAGCAGAGAGTGCCGGCCAGGGGTCCGTCCTCACGGAGGGGACAGAACGGAGGAGACGTCCCCTCTTTCTCTGAAACCACAGACATCAAGACCCGCAAGAGACAGCAAGACGGGCAGGAACCCCTGTGGCCAGCAGGTACGGGGCGCCTCCCTCACCAGCGTCCCAGCCTGAACAAACCATCGGGACAAAGACGGGCGGCCATCGGAAACGGGGCCCCGCACGTCCGAGGAGCCCGGCTCCGCGTCCCGAAGACCACCCTTCCTTCATCGACGCACCCGCCCCGCCGCCCCGAGGGCTGTGTGGCCCCACAGAGGCGGGCAGTGGGCACGGCGCTTCGATTCCCACGGTAAGAGGTTTGAAAACAGCCAGGAGAGCATTTGGAAAACCAACGTCTTTCCCTGCTAGAACCCTAGTAACAGAAATAAGGGGCGGTCCCTCCGGGTTGTGACCGAGTTCTGCACCGGCCCGAGGGCGGCAGCGCGCGAGCGCCCGGCCCCAGTGGACACGCAGGAGACAGGCGGCAGCGCGTGCGCAGAGAGGAGCAAGAAGGGCGGGGCACAGCGAGGCGGTCACGGCCCTGGCACCCGGGTGGGTCCGAACAGACAGTACATGGGCCCAGAGACGTGTCCGGTGACCCAGGGGCTGGGGGGCCCAGACGGGGAATGGCCGTGCACGGCCCGGCGCTGTCACGGGTCCTGCTGCGAGGGCCGGAGCAGCAGAGACAGGCACGAGAGCTGGGCAGGGGCCGGCGTGGCCAGCGCATGGCTGGAGCCTCCAGGAGCCTGCCCGTCCCACACCGCGACTTGAGCCCTGGACGCTCACCCCTGACAGACTGACCTCCAGGAGGGACGAGCGGTTCGTGTTGTGGGGTTGGATGGCGGCTGGGTGCAAATCAGTACCCACAGAGAGGCAGCCTCTCCCCACGGGGAAGTCGGGAAACCCGCGCTTCCTCATCGGACACGCCAACGATCCAGAAACCCACTTAGCAAGAGACCGCAGGCCCCTCAGGCCCAGCCGAGGCCCGAGCGAGCCGGCGCTGCTGGGGCTGCGAGCGCGCGGGAGGCCGCCCGCTCTTCGCCCGGACAAACGGTCGCTCCCTCAGGGGTCCCCCGCGGCCACCCCTCAGACCTCCCTGCCCCTTCCTGGCTCGCAGCCTCCCGCGGCCCCCCCCCTCCGGGGCACTGGTGTCCTCAGCACCTCCCGCGGCACCCTCCTGACGCCCGAGGACGTGGGAGGCGGCACAGCCCTGGCCACAGTGGGTTAAATCGAGGGGGCTGTTCCGCGCCCCGGACACTCCAACAAAGGGGACCAGAGCAGAGGGCCTCCCAAAGCCCCCAGCGGGCCCCTCTCGCTTCGGAGCCAGGAGCCAGGACGGCCTGCAGCAGCCAGGCACTGCCAGGCCAGCCCGGGGGCGGGGCCCGCGGACTCACCGAGCCCGGGCAGCAGGCGCAGCAGCGCGTTCTTGTTCCTCTGCTTGGTGATGTGCAGCACGTAGTAGAGCCCCACCTCGCAGGCCATGCGCTGCTCCTGCAGGAACCTGCATGGAGACCGGCCCTGAGCGCGCTGCCCCCTCGGCCGCCCGGGGCGCCACCACCCGCCCGCCCCGCCCGCGGTACTTGGTGAAGCTCTCGGGAAGCGTGTTCGGGTAGGCGGCCGGGGCCCTCTCCTCGGCGGGGAGCTTCTGGTCCACGTTGAAGGCGTGGTCGTCCACCACGAAGGACATGAGCGTGGGCAGGAACCGCGTGATGAGCTCCACCTCCTGGGGCGGGAAGCCAAGAGCCCAGCCGTGGGGCGCAGCCAGCGCCGCCCCCGCCCTGCCCGCCCCGGGGCCGCCGCCCCCACCGCCCCAGCCCCACCCCGCAGCCCCGAGCGGGCGGGCGGTGCAGAGGCCCCGCCGGGTCCCCTTACCATCTTGGGCTCCTTGAAGACCTGGCTGTCAATCATGTCCCAGGCCCCCTGGCCCAGCGCCAGCAGCCTGAGCAGCAGCAGGAGGTCCGGGCTGTCCTGTGGGGGCGGGGCACAAGCCTCAGCACCCGAGCCCCGCCCTCCCAACCCCCTGCAGCGCGCGGCACCCAGACACGGGACACGCAATGCGCGTGGGGCGCGTGTGCGCCTGGAGGCGGTGTGGCCCACCCCCACATGCCCACGGAAGGCTGCCTGGTGCCAGCCAGGCGCTCACCCTGGGCAGCGTCTCCTGGCCGACCAGCTCCTGCAGGTGCCTGACGGTGCTCAGCGACAGGGTGTTGATGGCGAAGGGGTCGCACAGGATCATGGACAGATCCCTGCAGAGACAAGCCCCTGGCGTCAACCTGAGTTGCTGACTGTGGGGAGCGGCCGCGGGCTGGGCCACCTCAGCCTCTGCCCCAGCCAGACGGCCCCTCCGCGCCGGGCTACCCTGGACGCCTTCCCCAGAAAAGGCTCAGCGTTTGGAAACTTGCACTCAACTTAAACCACTGAGCAGTCAAAGTTCTCAAGACAATTAAGGCCCCGTTTGGTTTGGAGAACCTGACCCAGACCCTGTCATTTCAGCCAAGGGTCCCACAGAGGCAATGACAGGGAGAGGCAGGCTCCGCAGACCCCGGACAGGACCCGGCCCGGCGCTGAGAGCCGCGCAGCTCGCAGACAGACTGGGACCGACACTGCGGCGGACGTGCCGTGCTCATCCGAACGCCGGAAAACAGGACTTTGGGGGGCTGGGGTGTCCACAGAAGGCCAGCCCTCACCCCAGAACTTGCTCCTGACCCTTCTTCACTCCATCAAGAAACCCCTGCAGCTCCCGGGCCCTCTTGCTGTCCACGAAGCGCTCGCGGATGCAGGCGTCCAGGCACCAGGTAAACTGCGGGGAAGCAGAGTCAGGACGGGACCGAGGCCGCCCCGCCCGCCGCCCAGGTCTCAGGGAGGGCCCGGCCGGGTCAGGCGGTGTGGGGAAGAGACAGTGTTTGAGCTTTGTTCTAAAAGGAGTCCTCTGTTGGCCCTGGCCAGGTGGTCAGTTGGTGAGTATCGTCCCGACGCACCAAGGCTGCGGGTTCAGTCCCCCATCAGGGCACGGACAAGAATCAACCAATGATCCATTGGTTTTAATTGGATGTAAGCGAAACAACAAATCCATGTTTCTCTGTCTCTCCCCCAAATCAATAAATGATAAAGTCCAGGCGCAGGAGAATTTGGAAGCAGCAGGACAGGAATGTGAACCCACAACAAATGCCTCTGAGCAGGAGGCCCATCATCCTTGTCACCCCCCCGACGGAGGCTTGGAACTGATCTTGCCAAATAGCTGGGGAGTCTGTGTGGGTTTAAGAGGCCTGGATTTCTATGTTTCACCAACAAAGAAAATGTCTCTTTGGTATTAGTCCTTGGAAAAAACAATTATTGAAAAAAAAGGGGGGCCCCACAGGCAGCCCCCACGGTGGGGTGTCAGAGCAGACACCAGGTGGCAAGGCCGTCCCGGCTGCACTGCACCCGCTCAGGGACAAGGGCAGCGCAGGCAGCCGGCCTGGGCGCCACTCAGCTCACCAGGAAGCGCCTGAGGGCTCCGCGGCCGGCAGGGGCCGAGGAGGAGGGAGGGGGACCCAGGAGAGGCTACCGTGCTGCCCCTCACGAGGCGACGTGGTCACGGGTGGCCCCCGGCCGACTGGGCAGCAGCGGTGCAGGTGGATGTGTATTTGGTGGTCAGGTGGGGTGGGCACCTGGAGCCCAGGCACCAGGACCCCCCCTAATCCCCCAGGGGAGGGAGAGGGAAGCCAGGAAGAGACCAGAGGGCGGGGGGCGGGGGGCGGGGCCGGCTGGGGCGCCACCTTATGGCAGGGGTCCACGGAGCAGATGTCGCCCACGTCCAGGTCGTGCAGGGACATGAGCAGCTCCGCGCGCAGCGTGCAGTAGTGCACGTTCCGCGTCCGCAGGAAGAGGGTCCGCAGGAACTGCAGCACCATGTCGTACAGCTTCACGTTCTTCCCCACCATCTGCGTCAACTTCTGCACCACCTGGGGGGTGAGACCCCGTAGCCAGCGTCACACGCGGCCCCGGCCACACGAAAGACCACGGGCAGGCGCACGGCCCGCTCCCCGGCCACACGGCCCGCCTGCTAGGGGCTGCTGGCGCCGTGCCGGGTGGCACGGCCTCCGGCTCCTATTGAGGCGAAGCCCGCGTCAGGCCCACCGCTCCGTGGAAAGGCCATCGGCCCGTCATCCCAGCCTCCGCCAGAGGCCCCAGGGCCCCCCGTCAGGCCCATGGCCCCCCGCCCCACCTCCTGCACCTGCAAGGGCCCCCTCCAAACGCCTGTCCCACCTGGGGCTCAGGCTGTGCTGCCCCCGCCCATGGGGGGGCTCGGCCGCCGTCCCCAGGCTGGGGGCAGGAGCTGGGTCTTGGTGCACCTGCTGAAGGCCACGCGGGGCAGCCTGGCGAGAGGGACACCACAGGACGTCACCAGCACCAGGCTGGACACGGCGGGGGACGCGCCACAGGGGCCGCAGGAACAGTGACTGACCTGACAGGACACTTTGGAAGCCCTGCCAAAGTGTCTCAAGGACCCTGGTGAGCACAGCAGAGCCAGAGATGGGTCTCGGACATACGGGGCCCCCTGATGCCAATGACAACTGATGCGTACAGCCGCGACCATGAGCCCCCGCAGCCTCGCACGCGTGCAGGGCGCACAACCTGGGGCCGCCAACTCAGGGCGGCCAGGCTCACAGGCAGGGCTGCGGCGGCCGAGCCACAGCCTGGGGACCACGGGTGATGCGCGACCCTGCAGCCCACCGCTCCCCTGGCGGTGGTACAAGACGCACGGCAGGGGCCCTGGCTCGGAGGGAAGTGTGAAGGAGGGACAGGTGACCACGGCAGCCCACGGCCCAAGGCCTGGCTCCCCAAGGTGAGCAGAAGGCAGAGGGCACGGCGCAGGGACACCTCCTCCGCCCGGGTGTGCGACCGGGGCCGGACGTTTGGGAAAAGCATCAGGCGACAGCCATCTCCCACCGAACACACCAACTCCAGGTAAAAGCTGAACGTGAAAGATGCAACCAAACACCCAGCACCACTCTGCCGGCGTGGCCGCTTGTCACCATCACCTCCCTCCCCGGCGAGCAGTCACCCGAGAACCAGGTTTCGCAACTTCAGCGACTGCCGCCGCACCGGGAAGGCCCAAGTCTCCACAGTGGCTTCTGGCCTCGGACCTCAGCCCCGCTCGCCGGCTGGCCCCGTGCTCTGGCCGCCCCAGCCTCCCCCTCCCCCAAGCCTCTGCTCGCACCCCGCCTGGCCCTTCTGCGACCTCCCATCTGCACAGCCCTTGTCCACCCCTCACGCTCTTGGTGACCAGCATGTGACGTTTACTGAGTACTGTCTGTGCCCCCAACAAGTGCCCCGGACTCCAGGGTTGCTGAGGGGCCCGGCGCCTGCGGCAGAAAGTCAGCGCTCAGAACACGTCTGTCGAAGCAGCGGACGGCTCAACTCTAAACACAGAAGTCGTCCCAGAGCTGAACGACACGTCGAGCTTAACTGAAAAGACCAGCCAACGAGAGAGTGCCAGTGCGCGAAACGTGGAAGGGCCACACCTGGGCGCAGCGTCGCCAAGGCCCTCTCGCCGGTCACAGGGACAAGCCTAGCCTTCCAGGAACAAAACCAGCCCAACGCTCAGGGGTTGGGCAGGGGGCTGGCCGGTCGCACGGCCCCCTGCACAGCCCTGCCTCCTGCCTCACCTCGCCCTGGCGCCTTGTTTTGGGGGAAGGGCTGAAGAAGTTGTGCAGGACAGAGAGCTCCGCACTGAACAGCGCGCTCTCCTTCTCCAGGATGTACTGCTTCAGCAGCGGGGAGACCTCGTCGCCGAAGAGGGCCTGGTTGTCCTGCCAGATCTGCCGCTTCACCTCCACAGCACAGGCCCGGTACAGCTCCTTGTCGGCCATGACCAGCTTCAGCTTCTTCTCAGGGACCTACAGGACCACACAGGCCGCCTGTGAGCAGCGTCTGTGTCCCAGGGTCGGCCTCGGAACGGGTCAGGAGGCCTCAGCACCCCACCCAGCGGAGACCACCCCAAACTCGGCGCCGTCCGAAAGGAGCCCCTGTGGCTGCCCCCAGACCCCGGCGGGGACAGGCGGCCACCGTACACACGCACGGCTCTTTCCCGGGAAGGGCCACGCCGCACTTCGGCCTCCGTGGGGCTCATCAGGGAGAAGCCAGCACAGAGAGTGTGCCCCCGGCTGCCCTTGCTGGGGCAGGCAGCTCAGGAAACCCCCTGGAGCTTACCTTGGGCAAGTGCTTCATGACGCACATCACCACCGGCTGCAGAGACGGCATCTTCACCAAGGAAAAGCTCTTCTCCAGAAGGTCTTCCAGTTTCTTGTACCTGGAAAGACTCAAATGACTGAGGAAGCAGCCGCCTGCCTGTCCCCAGACAGAAGACAGCTAAAGGGACTCCACAGGTGGGACCCATGGAGGAGAGGCCCCTTCTTCAAGTAGGAAAGCGTCGCCAAAGGGCCACGGTGCTGCTGCGTCGGTTCCCACACCGAGGAGAGGGCTGCACGCGTCACCTGCCCACCGACCTTTCCTCGGCCTTCCCCTCGGAAGCAATGGCTGACACGCGCTCCAGCAGCTTGTCCCGCAGCTCGTCAAACACCGACTGGTGGAACTCCAGCCGAGGCGTCCCGTGCAGGTCCAAGAAGGGCAAGGCCGACTGCAGGGAAGGCAGCAGCACGCCATTCTCTGTCTGAAGAAGCGGAGGATCAGCGTGGGGTCCACTTTGCTTATCTGGGGCAACTGCAGAAGCCACAGCCGCAGCCTCCTCTCCTCGGGCCAGGCACCCCGGGTGCGCTGCGTGCCTACGGAGGCAGCTGCAAGGATGTTGCCACCAGCGCTGCTTCGAACTACGAAAACTGAAAGCGCCCCAGATGACCGTCCACGGGGCACCAGCTCAGGACCCCTGGTCCCTCCATCCCGGGAGGAGGGGGACAGGCGCAGCGAACAGAGCGACGGAAACCTGCCCACTCCGCGAGCGACCCCGCCCCCCTGCTGGGCTCACGCGCCGACGGCCCAGCCTCCGCGCCCCATCCCACCTGAAACTGCTCTATGGCCTTGAGCGGTTCCGTGCAGTTGGTGAGCGTCTCCTTCAGGTCCTCGCCGTTGGCCACGCCCAGGTCCTGCAGCCCCGCGAACATGGCCGAGGCCCCCGCCCCAGCCCGGCTCGGCGCCCCATCCCCGCCGCGCTCCGCCGGGGCCGCCGCGGCCCCCGCCGGCCCGCCAGCAGCCCGCTCGCTCGGGCCGCGGGGGCCGCCTGAGCTCCTCTCCCCGGCGCCCTCCAGGTCGTTCAGGTCCCTCCCGCAGCACGGCTCCGCTGGGACGGCTGCCGCCCACTTCCGCCCCGCACAGCCGGTCCGCACGCCAACCCGCCCCTTCCGGAAATGCCGCTGCGGCGCAGAGGTTCCTGGGACAGAAGCCACGCCAGTCTGAGCGGCCGAGCGGGAGAGCAACGGCCAGAGAAAGCGCGTCCTCCAGCGAGGCCCCGCCCCGACAGCGTGGCCACGCCCACCGGCCGGGGCCCGTCCCGCCTTCCGCTCCCAGGCCACAGGCCGGCCGCCCGCCTCCGGCCTTGTCCTCCTGTCTGGGCACAGAAAAGAACCTTCGCCGAGTCGACGGGGCGGAGGGCCGGGTGTGCGGGGCACTGCGGCGGGGGCCGCGGGGGTAGCCGCTGTATGAATTTCGGAACCGATATGTTAGCCGAGAACAGCTTTTTATTATGAAAACCCACCACAGCAGCCCCTTTCGTTGACAAATGATCGCCTTTACGACAGACCTAGAGGGAGTCGGAAGGGCCTGTGGGAGGAGCTCTCGCCTCGCGTCAAAGCCAGAGCCCTGCGGGCAGCTCTCTCGGGTTACGTCAGAGCCACGGGCGTCGTGCCAGCCCCGCCCCTCACTTCCGCTTCCTGTCTACCATTTCCGCTCCATCTTGGCGAGTTCGCTGTGTTCTGTGGCTGCAGGCGATAACTTGCAGTCTTCTTTTGGGGACGAAATCCTTTTTTTTTTGTCTTTTACACTTGAGATGTCGGGGCTCGCCCTGGATCCAGGAAGCGAAAGCCCGAGCGGCAGAGCGGATGAGCGACCCGGGCGCTGCTCGTTCTCGGAGGCCTTGCGTGGGTCTCTCCTGGATCCGAATCCGCGCCTTGTGTCAGAAGCTCTCTGGGCTTTAATTGGGAACTGTACCTTTTTCTGTTAAAGGCCCTTGCTTGTCTGTTGTTTGCCTGTAAGTCCTCGATTTTTGACCGGTTGGCCGGTTACCTCGGGGATCAAATGAGGCTGTTGAGACTGGCGAGCCTTTAGCCCATACTTTCTGGAATAGGGGCTGTTTCTACTAAAGTCCGGTAGCCCTCGGCTCGGTTCCAGACTGACCTGCCTCATCGAAAGTGTCCAGCGGTTGGCCGGGGTGCTCTGGGGGCCGACTCCCTCCGAGAACTGGCCTTTGGCCTGACCCTTCTGCGATCTGGCTGTTCCAGGCGGAGACTGGTGTCTGACCTGCTGGAGTCGTTCACATTGCTTTTGGCCCTTGCTCTAAAGAAGTCCCTGAAAAGTGGGGTCTCGGTTATTTAAAATGTTAAGGCCGCCCCTCCTCCCGCAACTCTTACATTTGAAAGCCGAGGTCACTCTTTTTTTAAGTTTATTTATTTTAAAAGAGAGAGGGGAAGGGAAGGAGAAAGGGAGAAAAACATCCACGTGTGGTTGCCTCTCCCACGCCCCCCACTGGGGACTGGCCCACAACCCAGGCCTGGGCCCCGACTGGAAATCGAACAGGCGACACTTTGGTTTGCAGGCTGGCGCTCAGTCCATTGAGCCCCACCAGCCGGGGCCAAAGCCACTCTTCGTGGGCCTATTTAATTAAATGGATATATCTGACCAAAAGTAACTCAGAGTTGGCCACAGTGGGGGACCTTTGAGGTTCCCAAACTTCCTTTCTTAAATCCGAATTGGACAATAAGTGCTAGAATTGGCAAAGATGAGTGCAGTGTCTATTTCGATTGGTATTTTGCAGCTTCCAAATGTTACCAAGAATCTGAAGTTGCCTCCACAAAAATAAAGTTTCAGAATTAATAGAGGCCACTGAACTTTTGAAAGGTTTGGGGGAGGCTCCCAAAGCTGCTGTTCGCCTGCGGCCCAGCGCGGCCTTGGCCTTCAGGCCACGTCTCAGGGATGGGGTCTGCGGCGCTCGGATCCTTCCCCGACTCCACTCTTAGCCACCTGACCCCCCCTCCCTGCCCCCGGTGCCATTCTCCAAATTTAAAGGAAAGCCGTCTGAGGATGCCGATAGGCCTTAAACTGCCTCTGTCCTCGACACGGACACTGAACAGCGAGCCACGGCTTAGAGAATCCTGAGGCCACGCGGGATGCTCAGAGACTCGCTGCCGTTTGACGTGACCCGCCCCTCCCAGCCTGGTGTCGTGGTTCAGCACCGGGTGAGACTCACGGTGTCGCCACCCTGAAGGGGATTTAGGAAACCCACCCTCTGATTGCTGGGAAAGCCCTGAAGGGCCCTGGCCGCGGGCCCTGCGAGCAATGGGGCAGCCGCCTTTCCCCAGGCCCGCGACTGGGCCGAGGTCTGGCCTGCTGCCCGACGGTTCCGGCTGTGCCTGTTACAGCCGGTCTCGGGTGGTTCCTAAGGAAAATTCTGGCTCTCCTCCCGCTCGGGGAGCCTTTCCCTCGGTTGCTTGAGGGGCTGGACGGAGGCCTCTCCATTCTGTGAAATGAGCAGGATGGACGGGAAGACCTGTCCGCTACAGATTTGGTTAATGTGGCAAATCAGCTCGCTTGCGTTGTAGCTGAGTCAGCTGCAGGGAAAGCTGCTAAAATTCTCAGTTTTCAGCATGGCCAGTGAAGGGCCGCTCACAACCCCCAAGCCCCAAGTTACTGCTGTGACTGCGAAGGGCCGTTGCCCACGGCAGCCAGCGCTTCAGGCGCCCGCAGCCCCCAGCCAGCCGCCGGGCCTCTCGGTTCCCGGTGACGCGCGGGGCTCCTGGGAGGACGGGGCTCTTCCGCAGCCTCCCTCCCCGTCCGTTCGGAGACGCCACTCTGCAGATGGGGTCAGTCCCCGCCGCCGAGAGGCCCCAGAGCAGTGACCGAGGTCTCGACGCGGCTCCGCGTTTGCGGCGGCCCCGCCCCCGCACTTCCGCTCCCTTCGGTCAAGTATCCCTCTCTGCCGTGTGCTCGCCCTGCCTGCCCGTGCCCGTCGCACCCTTTTTCCTGCATAAATCCGTTTTGGTGATGGAATGCCCAGTGGGTTCTGTGTTACGGTCAACAGGTTATTTTTGCTCGAGGAACTGGAGCGCGGCCACCCTGGGAGCTCCTTGCGCAGGCGCGCGGCGCCCGCTCGGTGCGCGTGCTTCCAGTGGGGGCGCCCCCAGAGGCCTGGGCTGGCGGTGGGACGGGCAAGGGACTGCGGTCCTCTTGTGACCGTGAGCGTCTCACCCCCGGGCTAACCCACGGCGGGAGGCCCTCAGGCTGTGGCTGTGAGCGCGAGTCCCTGCGACGAGGCCAGAAGCGCACAGCGCTGGTGGGCTCCCCATTACTGGGCACGGAAGGCCGTGGACCCAGCATCTGCGGGACTTCCAGTCCCTCCCTTCCATCCCGCCAGCCGTGGCCCCAAGCTCGCCACACCAAATGTCACAGCCTCTCCCTTTTCCTGTGTCTTGGTTTCCAAAGTTTGCTCTGCTAGGAATTCCCTTCCCTCCTGCTCACCCTGGGAAGCCCGTTCCCCCACCCTCTCCCCCAGGGAGCCCTGTCTCCGCAGCCCAGCGGGGGGGGATTGCTCCATCCTTCCTGCTCATCCCGCTGCTGGCGTTGAGCCCTCGGGGTGGCTGGCGGTGCGGCTGTGAGCGGGGCTCCGGGCTCCCACACTCTGGCCAGGCTCCCGAGGCCAGGACTCCCACAGCTCTGTTCCCCGCTTGCTGCGCTGAACAGCGGGGCCCAGCAACACCCATCAGCAATCCGGCGGATTCCCTGGCGCGCTGGGGCTCCACCCACAGCCGGCTCAGCCTGAGGTCACTGGCGAACACTCCAGGACCCCCTGGGCCTTGGCCTCTCTGCAGAAGTGTTTACGGGCCACCACAGGAACAGCTGTTGCAGTCCGTCTGGGGCCCACCCCTCCTAATCCAATGGCCAGGCTCCTAACCCAATGGCCAGGCTCCTGCAACAGGACCGGGCCCTAACCGGGCTGGGGAAGGACCAGGGAGTCTGGTGGCTGTGGCTTGGCTTGCACCGCCCTGGGCGTGTCTGCAGGGTCTTCAGGCAGGCGTTGAGGGAGGTGGGGCCAGACCCCAACGAGCCAGTCCTCTGGGCCTGCTCAGTGGCTGGTCAGGCTGACCTCCTCCCAGGATGGAGTTCAGGGAGTCTAGTCCCTACCTCTGCCCCAAAAGTCAGTTCCTTGGCTTAGCAAGTAGCCCAGCTCTTGGGTAGGTTTGCAGCAGTGTCCTGCACTGCCCAGAGGGACCCCTCCCTACCCTCCCAGGCCAGGAAGTCTCAGGCTGTCACCTGCCCATTCTGGAGACGAGAGCACATAAGGGGAAGAAGCAAAGGGAGACCCCTGGCCCGCGAACGATCCCCCTGCCGGACAGCTCGGCAGGAGAGGAACAGCGGCCAGGCACATGGCAGAGTTTGGAAGAACCTTTTCTTATAGCAGGTGGGCAAGAGAGGGCTCTGGGCTGGGCTCTCCTTGTCCACAGCTAACGGAAGGCTTAGCTGGCCAGGAGCATGGACCGGGGGTGCCAGAGGGTTAGACGGCCAGATTGGGGGTCCTGAGTTCCAAAGGGAGGCCTGCGAGGGCCCCCGGGGAGGCGGTGTCCATGTGATAACTGGCCGGACCCGCACAGTCCAGCAACTCTAAAGCGCGCAGAAAGGGCCTGTGTCATGGCGCTTGGGTCTTCGCACGCCCTGGATGATCACTCCGGGCGCCGAGGGGAAGCGCGAGTTATAGCAGTCCTCCGCGTGGTAGGCGGCTGGGCCGGGGGTGCGGGCTGCAGAGGGACACAGTGGGAGGCCCGTGCAGGCTCCGGCGCCGGCCGCTGCCCCGCCGCCCCCAGGCCGCCCCCTGACCCAAGCCTCCCCTCCACGAGGCCTCCTTACAGGAGCTGACCCAGGAGGCGAACGCAGGGGAGCGGCTCATGGAGAAGGCAGGCGAGCGCGGGCTCCGCAGGCGGCACCCGGGAAGGATGTCGTAGGTGTTGGGGCTGGGGCGCTTGTCTCCCGGAGCCTGCGAAGGGTCCTGCCACAGGCGCAGCGCACGGCGGCCGGCACCCCAGGCCCGCAGCAGCGCCGGACGCGCGCGCGCCTCGGCGGTCTTACAGGCGCGGCGGGGGCCCGCGAAGCTGAAGGCTGGGAAGGCAGGGCCGCTGAGCGGACGGTAGTCGGCGGGCGACGGCCACTGTGCGGAAGGGCGCTGCTGAAGGCCCGCCCACACCCGCACGCCCCGCCCCTCCCCGCACGCCCCGCCCCCGCAGAAACCTCCGGGCCGGCGCCCCACCTTTCGCTCCCGGCTGAAGTCGGCTTTCTGCGTGAAGGGGCTTTCGCTCTGCAACCAGGCGGTCTGCCACGCCCTGCGGCCGCCGCCCTCTGCAGGGGGGCAGTGTCGTTGGGGAGGGCGGGTCTGGGGCGCGGCCCCGCTTCCAGGACCGGGGCAACGGTGGCAGGGGGCGCGGGGAGGGGCACGCACCGCGGGCGGAGAGCTTGCGGCCGATGGTGAAGTGGGGGTGCGGGGAGGATTCGCGCACCGAAGCGTCCGGCACCTCGTACTTGGTGGGGCCGGGGACGTCCAGGTCGGTCACGATGGGGGGACGTCGCTCCAGCCCTAGCGGGAAGCAAGGTCTGGGCCTGGGTCCTCCCAGGAGGGCCCCGCCTCCGCCCCGCCTCCTCGGACCAGGCTGCGGACCCGCACTCACACAGCTCCTTCAGGCCGCGGGTGCAGTTTGCCCGCAGTTCCTGGAGAGGACCCCTGTGCACCCCGAAGCCCTCGGGGGACTCCAGCACCACCGCCGGGGGCCACACCTCCCCCCAGGCGGGCCCCGGGCCCCGGCCCGACAACGCAGCATCCGTGAGCCTGCGGGAGAGGACAGCCGCGGTCCACTCAGACTGCCGGCGGCCCCCTCGCGCTGACCGCGCCCCCTGCCCCTCGCCCTCAAAGTTACTGGGCCGGCACTAATGACTTCGGCCTCAGGGGGCCATGGGTCCAGTGTTTGCCTCCATTGATGTAAAAGTTTGCCAGGAATTTCACTGCTTTCTGGTCAAAATTCATCGTCAGTGTCTCTGGCTGCCTTCCACGGTGACATGTGACATCGGGAGGCTTTCTGACCTCATGGGCCCGTCGTGCCCCTCCCCCCACCCCCTGTGCCAGGAATTCCGAGGGAAGAACATTGTCCAGCCCTGGAGTGCCTGTGGCAGTCGGGTCCTCAGAGGGAACCCTCCTCTGACCTGCCGGGCGGGTCACCCTGTGTCACCTTGGCCAGGAGGACCCCCTGGCCGACCCGAGCGACCCCTGGCTTAGCCTCCTTGCCCTCCCATCCCCATTCCTTGTCCAAACCCTGCTTTCCTGGCCTTTGGGGGTCACTCCAGCAGGGCTTCTTAGGGGGCTGACACCGGGCAGAAGGTAGAGGAGGGAGTGGGTGCTACGCAGGGCCCTGCTGTGCGGGGCCAGCTGGGAGGAAGCACCAGGGTAGGATGGAGGGTCCTGGGAGGCACCCGGGAAGAGGCGGAGCCCCGCCGGAGAAGCAGGCAAGGGTGTCTGGGCCTGCGCGGACCGTGCGGCCCCGAGCAGCGGCCCTGGCCCTGGAGCGTCCCGTAGCCCCGGCAGGCGGAGGTGGCGGAGCACCGCGGCCGGGAGGCGGCACGGGCGGCCGCGGCCGCCCAGGGCGCAGTGCGGGAGGACAACGAGCCCACCGGCGTGTGAGCCGGTCCGCACACCAGGGCCCTCGGCGTGCCCTCTGAAGTGGGGCCACCTGCCGGCCTGGCCCGGCCCGGCCTCGGCCCAGTCCACAGCAGGGCCGGTCAAGCCCGCCTCGTCCTCTGGTCCTGCCCCCCCGACCCAGGTGGCCCTTCCCGTGTGGGTCCCTCCCACCCAGCACTGGCCCTGCACAGCCCTGGGAGGCCCAGTGGCCCTCCGGGTGGGCGGATGGGCTGACAGAGACCCCCTTGGGGAATCCCAGGCTTTACCAGGGGCTCTGGGCCCCTCCCACGTTGTTGGACGTTCTCTGAGGGCAGAATTGACAGTGGCTACAAATGCCGTTGCATGAGCAGAGCCCTCATCCTTGGGCCTTTGGACCAGCTCCGACCGCGCTCTCGCAGATGCTGCCATGATGGGTGGTACTGCCAAGTGCCTGTCATTTCCGCTGGAGAGACCCCTGAGAGTGGCAGCAACGGGTCAGGGCGTGTAGTATCTTGTTCAGACCCGACCTGTGTCCCCACGGGGCCTTCCAGACAGCACTGACCACAGCGGAGGCTACTCACTCTCACGTCGGGCTGGCCGTGAGCATTGGAAGTGGCCATCATCGCCCCGGCTGGTGTGGGTCCGTGGACTGAGCGCCGGCCTGTGAACCAAGGAGTCGGCGCTTGGTTCGATTCCCAGGCAGGGCACAGGCCTGGGTTGCAGGCCAGGCCACCCGTGGGCGGCACATGAGAATCAACCACACGTTGATGTTTCTCTCCCTCACTTTCTCCCTCCCTTCCCCTCTCTCTAGAAATAAATAAATCTTTTTATAAAAGAGAAACATTTATTTATTTTATTTATAAAAAAGAGAAACCATTATCAACATTTACTTGATGAAGTTCAACCTTCTGTCCATATGTTTATTATGTTTTTTTCCTTAAGATATTCATGTTTTCTGTGTATTTTGTATTGGGGTGGTAAATTTTCATATTTTTCCTAGGTTAGGTTTTCTTCCTACTGATAACCTATCTGTTCATAATACTTATTGCGAACTTCTCCCCAAGCTTGTAGTCTGCCTGCTAGTACTGTTCATGCTGGTTATTGATATGTACTTGAACCTGCTAATCTTTTCCTTTAGGATATTCTGCATGGTTAGAGCATCCTTTCTTACAAAAAGAAGAAACATTCAAAAAGAAGAGTGGCTGGTGGGGCTCAGCAGGTTGGGCGTTGCTCCACTAACCGGTCGCCGGTTCGATTCCCCGTCAGGGCACAGGCCTGGGTTGCGGGCCGGGTCCCTGCTGAGGGTGGGCAGTCAGTTGAGGGCGCGTAAGGGGCAACCCACTGATGTTTCTCTCACGTGTCAATGTTTCTCTCCCTCTCTTTCTCCCTCCCTTCCCCTCTAAAAACGAATAAAGTCTTTTTTAAAAAATGGAAAATACTGCCCAGCTCCAGGAAAGACCTTCCGACTTCGCTGAGGAGGCTGCCCACCGTGCCTCGGAGGCTTCCAGGCCTCTCGTCTGAGGAGTGGGCTTGGGGTGCGTGGGGGCTCCTCTAGCTGCACCCTGGGAGCAGCTAGGGGGGCCCCCACTCCCTGGCAGGGCGGCCGGGGACTTCGCTGCAGCAGCAGCAGCCCGCTCCCTGAGCCCGAGGCCCTCCGCGTCACGCCTCCCAGCCCCAGCCTGTCCTGCGGCCGGTCGGGGCCTCGTCCCGCCTGTGCCACGGGAGCACCCACAGGGCCAAGGACTGGCCCGGCCCGGGGTGCCCAACAATGGGGCCCCTTCACAATCGTTACCAGGCAACAGGGGCTATTTTAGGGAAGGCAGCCAGGAGGGGGAAGGGGTTGCACAGCAAAAGTGGAGTTGAGGCAAGATGACAGCCACTGAGAGACATGACCTCTTCACGCCGGAACCTCACTATGTCCCTGGGTAAGAGCGGCACCCCTGCAGGGCGACTGGGGGAGCAGGCTCAGCCAGCGGCTGGCGGCCCCCCGAGCTGGTCTCCAGGGAGGGGGGCGAGGCCCAGGCCTACCCTCCCTGCTGGTGGCGCTAAATGCCATACCAGGTGGGCAGCTCCTCAAGAGCAGAAAACCGAGGGCAGCCAGCAGCTGGCGGCGGCTGGAGGAAAAGACGCCGGGGCTCACTCCCCAGCGTCCCGCACTCTAGGGGCGCGAGGCGGAGCGGGAGTAAACCGACTGTGGCCAGGCTGCCTGGCTAGGTAGCCCTCGCGCCAAATGCGACCGAGCCCTCCGCGGAGTGTGTGTGCACAGCCACACCCCCCCCCCGCAGAGCCATGTGAGCAAGGAAAGAGGCGGGCAGGGAACCAGCCCCAACCTCACAGGGGCCTGGGGGAAACGTGGGGACAGGAGAAACTGAGGAGGGAGGGCTTTGAACCCCCACCGCCCTTCGGGGGGGGGGCTCACCCAGATGCCCGCACCACCGGCCACGTGGCTGAACGGCGCTCCCCTCAACCGCACCTTCACTGCCACCTCCAGCCTCCTGCCTGCCCCCCAAATCCCGGTCCCATTCACTGGCTACTAGCGTCCTGTGGGGCGAACGTCCAGCCCAGATCCCTGCCCAGCCTTCACGGTGGCACCGCCTTGGGTCCAACGGGCCTCCCCGTGCCTGGGCCCGGACCCTGTCACTGGCCCTGTAGATGCTCCCCGGCAGTTCCCAGTTCGGCCATCCTGAGGCTCCTGGCTGGGGTCGGACGGTGGGCAGCGGGGGATGGCAGGCCAGGGTGGCGGTGACGCCGCCGGCCCGCAGCGCTTGGAGTGCGCTGCCCTTCGAGCCGCCAGAGCCCCTGCGCCAGGGGTCGCCGTGGCCTCCGTTCTGTGGCCGAGGCCGGGGACCGCCTGGGGCTGGCGGGCTGGACGCCGCCTCGCTCACGGGCCCTACCCGCCCCCGTCCCCCCGCAGCTATGCCGGCTTCTACCCGCAGCTGCGCTACCAGGTGGGGAACACCTACGGGCGCACCACGGCACAGCTGCTTACGGACCCCAGCGTGCGGAAGAGCCCCTGCTCCGTGCTGTCCCCCACCTCCAAGCCCAACTTCATCGAGGACTTCAGCAAGTCCAAGCCGCCGGTGATCCCCTGCCGTGACCTGACCGAGCCCTACATCCCTCACTACACAGGTGAGCGGCACCCCGCTCCTCACCGGCCCTGCCCCTCCTTCCTGCCCAGCCGTTCATCGCTGCCCTGTCCGCACAGGTCTGAAGCCCTACAAGAACTTTGAGATCCTGGGCCGGTTCTCACCTCAGGAGACAGACGCTGAAGGGCCGCCGGGGACAGAGAACATATCCAAGCAGGTTCCACTGCCTGCGGGCTTCATGCCCTACCCCCCCTACCCGCCGTGCCCACCAAGCAGGAAGGGGCACCGCAGGGACCTCGGACACCCGGGCCTGCGGCCGGCCCATGAGGAGGGGGGCTGGAAGAGCGACGCCCACGCCTGCGGATGCCCTGAGCGGCACCAGGTGCCTGGGGGACGCGCCGGGACCTGCCTCGCCCGGCTAGACCAAGGCTGGGGCGAGGGGGGGGCGGGCGGGCGGGCTGGGTAGTGACCCGCCCCCTCCCGCCCCAGCTGTACCACTACAGGAGGGATGAGTACCCGGCCCCAGGCCCGCAGCAGGAGACGCTGGACTTAAGCAGGTTCCACAGGTTACCCCAGCTGGACCACCCCAACCTGATTCAACGCAAGGCCATCTCAGGTGGGCGCCCGCTGCCCCGGCCTCAGGGGCCAGCACAGGGCGAGCGGGGCGCCGCCCCCGGGTGGAAGCTCCTGGCCGCCCACACCCATGACGCCCACAGGAATTTGCATTTGGGGAAGGACCTGGACAGACTTCCCCAACACCCCTTAAGAGCAGGTGGGCGACGCAGGGGACCCGGGAGGGCACCCTGACCTCCTCCCTCCCCCAGGATACGCTGGCTTCATCCCCCGGTTTGCCTGGGTGATGGGCACGAATTATCGCAACGGGGTCACTCAGGCCATGGACGAGTTTGACAAGAACCAGGTATGAGGCCCCCCGCCCGGGGCCGCGCTCGCGTGCCCCGCAGGGTCCACAGTCCCCAGGTCACAGGCAGGTCCAGGGCTCGGTTGGCTTCCCGGGAGGGGCTCTGCCTGGCCCTCCCAAGGCCGCCGCTCCCCAGCGCCTTGGGTGCAGGTCTAGAACCCCTGCCCTGGAGCCTTCTGGGGAGAGGAAGACAGGGGAGGCCTGCGCATTAGCCACTTCCAGGAGTGCCAGGCTGCCCCCACTGGGACATGCCAGGGGTCGCCTGGCGGCGGAGGCACCCAGCACCGCCACGTGCCCGTTTCCCCAGTTCATGCTGAGAAACCCCATCTGCACCCTGGGCGAGAGGCTGCCCCGCACACACTGGCCCCGCAACACCGTCTACGACAGCCAGGGCCTGATCCCCTTCTACACGGGCTTCATCCCCTGTGAGTGCCGTGACCGCCGTGGGGAGGGGTGGGTGGGCGGGCGGCCGGGGCGCCTCACCCCGCGGCTCCACGGGCACAGATCGATCCGTTACTTCCCCAGGGTCCCCCTGGAGGTAGGATGGCCCCACACCCCCTCTCCTCCCTCACGGACGGGGCTGAGGCCCTCTTAGACTAGGTCACGGGGACTGAGCTGCCCCCAGATGACGTTGGTCCTTAGTGCGGACGGGCTAGGCCTGCCCTCCGGAGCCCGGGCGGCCCGGGCGCCTCAGACGCCCGCGTGGACGGCACCCGCCCTCCGCCAGCAGCCACTGGCGCAGGCCAGATGCAGCTCGGCCGTGGCCTTGCCCCTTGCAGCCATGCAGGACCACTTCGCGATGACGTTCGGCGACAGCACGCGCAAAGCCTATCAGGAGGAACTGGAGAGGAGAAATCGGACGCTATGAAAATGCTTTAATGGTGGCGTCTGTACAGCATGTGACATCAAGACAGGAAGAAGAGCGGGTACACACTGTGAGACAGGGCTATCAGAGGACAGGCTGTGAGTGAATAAAGAGTTCTCACGGCTTCCGCGCGTTCCCGCTTACCAGGCGGCTCTAGGCCACCTCCTCCTCGGCCTCCTCCTCAAACTCGCCCTCCTCCTCGGCCGTGGCGTCCTGGTACTGCTGGTACTCAGACACCAGGTCGTTCATGTTGCTCTCGGCCTCGGTGAACTCCATCTCGTCCATGCCCTCGCCCGTGTACCAGTGCAGGAAGGCCTTGCGCCGGAACATGGCCGTGAACTGCTCCGAGATGCGCTTGAACAGCTCCTGGATGGCCGTGCTGTTGCCAATGAAGGTGGCGGACATCTTGAGCCCCCGGGGCGGGATGTCACAGACGGCCGTTTTCACGTTGTTGGGGATCCACTCGACAAAATAGCTGCTGTTCTTATTCTGGACGTTAAGCATCTGCTCGTCCACCTCCTTCATGGACATGCGGCCTCTGAAAACAGCAGCTACGGTCAGGTAGCGGCCGTGGCGGGGGTCGCAGGCGGCCATCATGTTCTTGGCGTCGAACATCTGCTGGGTGAGCTCGGGCACCGTCAGGGCCCGGTACTGCTGGCTGCCCCGACTGGTGAGCGGGGCAAAGCCGGGCATGAAGAAGTGCAGGCGGGGGAAGGGCACCATGTTCACGGCCAGCTTGCGCAGGTCAGCGTTGAGCTGGCCGGGAAAGCGCAAGCAGGTGGTGACCCCGCTCATGGTGGCCGACACCAGGTGGTTCAGGTCGCCATAGGTGGGCGTGGTCAGCTTGAGGGTGCGGAAGCAGATGTCGTACAGCGCCTCGTTATCAATGCAGTAGGTCTCATCTGTGTTTTCCACCAGCTGGTGGACTGAGAGGGTGGCGTTGTAGGGCTCCACCACGGTGTCCGACACCTTGGGCGAGGGCACCACGCTGAAGGTGTTCATGATCCTGTCCGGGTACTCCTCCCTGATCTTGCTGATGAGGAGGGTACCCATCCCAGACCCAGTCCCCCCACCCAGGGAGTGGGTCAGCTGGAAGCCCTGCAGGCAGTCACAGCTCTCAGCCTCCTTCCTCACGACGTCCAGCACCGAGTCGACCAGCTCCGCACCTTCCGTGTAGTGCCCCTTGGCCCAGTTGTTCCCAGCACCGCTCTGACCTGCAAGGAAGGACAGCTGCTCACCCTTTGGCCGGGCATATACCGCCAGGGGTCACTGGGCCCTAAAGACCCGGTACCGTGCAGTGAGGGGGCACAGCTCACCCTGCAGGTAAAGCAGCTGGACCCCCAAATAAGGCAGCAACCTACCTGGTCAAAAATCCGTCTAGGGACTGAGCTGCTAGCGCTTAACAATAAGCCAGCCCCTCCCACGGCAGCCCCTGCCAATTCCCAAGGACAGATGAGCCGCTGCTGCGTTCACCGCAGCGAGATTACATCGGCGGCTTCGCCCCTGACCGGACAGCTGGGCCTTCCTCCCAAAGCCGCTTTAGGAGAGGGATTGAATGACTCGCAGGGGGAGGAGAGTGTCCAGCCAGGGGCCCCAGCTACTGCTCAAGGTACAGTGGGGACCAAGACCTCGTCCCCGCGCTCTGAGGATGGTGACCTTGGGCACCCCTTGACCTTTGAGCCGTCCTGACTAACAAGCCGCCACCCCGCCCCCATCTGCGGCTCACCGAAGACGAAGTTGTCTGGCCTGAAGATCTGCCCGAAGGGCCCCGAGCGCACGGAGTCCATGGTGCCCGGCTCCAGATCCACGAGCACGGCCCGGGGCACGTACTTGCCACCTAGGGGGGCGGGAAGGCGTCAGCGAGAGGCCGGCTGCGGGGCGGCGGGACTGGGGCGGGCGAGGAGCGGGAGGACTCACCAGTGGCCTCGTTGTAGTACACGTTGATCCGCTCCAGCTGCAAGTCGCTGTCCCCGTGGTAAGTGCCGGTAGGGTCGATGCCATGCTCATCGCTTATCACCTCCCAGAACTGCGAGAAACGCGGGCGGGCCGGGGCTGAGTCACGCCGGCGGTGCCCAGGGCCGGCCCCGCCCCGGACGGGCGCGGCCCTCCCCTCCCCCCCGCAGCCGGCCTGGTCCCCAGGGGCCCGCGCCAACGACCCCGCCCGAACCCCGGCCCCTCGCGGGGCCGCAATGCGGGGGCGCCGCCCGCCCGCCGCCATCTTTCCTGTCCGCCTTTCCCGCCCGGCTGGCTCGCCCGCGCAGAGACCCCGTCGCCCCACCGCCCACCTTAGCGCCGATCTGGTTGCCGCACTGGCCGGCCTGCAGGTGCACGATCTCCCTCATGGCGGCGGCGGCGCGGGCGGAAAGACGGAAAAGAAGGCCGAAACGCGGGCGCGCAGAATGCTACAACCGACGCTCCGCCAACGCTTATATATCCGTCGCGCACGCCTCCGCCAGCCTCCTATTGGGCTGTCAGAACGAGGATGGCAAGTGACCTCGTTTGATTGGCTTTAGCCCTGTCAATCGAGTCTCCTAACGCTCGCCCTCCCAATTTCTTTTGCTGTTTATTGGCCAGCTGAGGTCTCAGCGCTACCTATCAAAGTCCCCCCCCTCGCGCTGCGGTTCTCTGTCCATTGGGTGTTTCAAATGATTGATTTGTTCCCTCATTGGCTGGTTCCGGAGAGTAGCCGAGAGGCTGGCGCTATTGGCTACGCGGAACCAGCGTCCTGGTAACCGCCGCAGTGCCGCAGGCGCGCGCGGGTTCCGGGGGCGCGCGCGCGGGCTCCGTCCCCCGGAGCCAAGGGCGGGCGCAGGCGCAAGCGCGGTGATGGGAAAAGGCAGGCGGGGCGGCGCCCTGCGCGCACGCGTGCAGACGTGTCCGCGGTCGCGGTGGCCGAGTGCGAAGTCGGGGGCTGCCGCCGCCAAACGAGGGCGCGTGTGGCCGGGGCCGCCCTGCGGGGTCCCGGAGCAGGGGAGGGGCGCGAGGCCATTCACAACGGAGATAGACAGGGTTCGGGGCCCGGGGCGACGGCACTCCTCTTTGGGCCGCACGCCCGCTTGGGCGGCGGTCAGGTGAGGGAGCACGTGGGCCGCTGCGCCAGAGCCGGAGCTGGGGAAGGGGAGGGCGGGGTGGGCGGAGCGGGTCCCTGCCCCGCAGCCTTGAGCTTGTTGTGGAGACAGCAGTAGCCCCGCTGCCCGTCGTCTTGGTGCTGGGCTCCAGCATAGCCAGCTCCGTGGAAACGAGGGCGGAGCCCGGACCTCCCTCGCGGGTAGGCCCCCACCTGGGGCTGCTTCCGGGCCTGTTGCCTCAACGGTTGGTAGGCAGTTAGACGCGAGCCGAACTAAGACAATAGGCCAGGTAGAGAAGGTCACCAGGACAGAAAGCCGTGGGTGCCTAGCAACGGGCAAAACTGGGAAACAAGGACCTGGCCCCAGGGTGACCTTTCCTCCTCCAGCACGTCGCTGGCCTTGCGCTTTAGACCCCCGACCTTTCATAGCCCTGTGGTTTGGACCCTCCCTGGCCCTTTCCTCCCCTGGCAGGTTGCTACTTCTGCGGGTTCGACCCTTTTCAGGGGGAACGAGCAAGGGGCCAGAAAACAGCCCCGACGTATGAAGCCCTGAGGACAGCGAGGTCTGACCCACTTCAAAGACATCCAGGCCTCGGCTGTGTTTCAGCTCCAGGCCCGGAAAAGCAGCCAAACCAGCCGGGCAGTGACAGGTCTGCCATCGGGACCTGCAGCCTTGGCTAATGACCCCCTGCCCTGGCGCCGGCTAATCGGTAGAGAGCAGGACCCCGAGAGAACACACTTGTAAAGCTGATGAGTGTTCTCCTGGGACCTCCCCTGAAGTCCCCGCCCTCAACAGTCCGGGGAGGACGCAGCGCGCCCACGCCTTTCGTGCCCCCTTCCCCGCCCCTCCCCCCAAGCGCTGCCTTTACCTTCCTCTCTCCTAAGCTCCAGGGGCGCTTGTTTTGCCTCTGTACCTCGTTTCCTGAGCCCATTTCTTCTACGGTTCACTTCTCTCACCTCTGCGACTTTCTGCATAAACGTTCTCTTATGGTTTCAGTCTTGGCTCTGAATTCTTTCTTAGGCAGAACTCAAGTACCAAGGTTGGCGACTCCAACCACGGGTAACATTCTCGTGCCATTTTTGCCACCAACACAACCGCAGCTCAGTGTGCCTGGGCTGACAAATGCCTTTAGTTTTACTTGCTTTTGTTGGGGGGGGGGGGGCATTAAACAAAACTTACCAAGGAAAAAAATTAAATTACACATGGTCACACCTTTACTATGTTGACTTAACAACAGTACACTTGTTACATTTTTGTCACATTTAGAAAAGGACAGATCGTGCCTTGAGGTCTGCCCTGGACGGTGCTCCGGCCAGTGGCCCCTGGGCCTCTGGCTCTGGTTTTCTCAGTCAACTTCTGACCCTCCTTTGTCCCCCAGCGAGGGGGGCTTGAGGGCAATACCTTGTTGCTCCTCTCTTTCTGGGGGAATGCGCTCTCCCGGCCTGTGATGCAGAGCGCCAGCCGGCATCGCAGCAGCTCTGGGGGCAGACACGTCCCCGCGGTGACTGTTCGTCTGCGGGGGGCTGCTGGGACGAGCGGCTCTCTGGATACAGGTGAGCCTTTGGATCCCCTGCAGAGTGGTCTGCAGCTGGCTCCTCAGGGCGGCAAAGTGCAGGTAAGGCCCGGCAGGGCCTAGAGGACCAGCCCTGTCCCCCGCAAGCTGGCTGGGCAGGTGGGCCTGGCTTCTGTGGACCACAGGCCATGGCCTGTGGGGGATGTTGGGTCACCTCCTGGCAGCTTGGGTCTTCTCAGCACCCTGCAAAGCGCCCGGCTTAGCCGCCCACGCAGCCGTGGCCAGGCCCTGCCGAGTGACTCCCAGAGGCGCTTGTCAAAGCCCTCCCCTTCCCCAGGCTGTGTGGCCTGAGACCTGCAACCCCCGCCCCTGCCGCCAAAAGGCCCCTGCTCCCTGTGACCAGTCCCCACAGGGCTGGCATTTCGCACCCCTGCTCTAGGGGAACAAAACAGAGGACTCCCCGCCCAGGTGTGAGCCCCAGAGGTCGCCGTGGCGCCAGGTGGCCTGCCTTGCCCCTCCCACTGCCCCCGCTGCAGGACGGCAGGACCCCCGAGGTCCTCAGGCCCGTGCCCAAGGGCTGAGGCGGCCGCTGTCGCGCAGGGCAGAGTGAGGATGGCCTGCTGGTCCCGACCCTCAGCCAAGCGCGTTCCTGCCACGGAGTGGAGCGGTGGGCCGGGGCGGGGGGCTGTGGCCCGGTGGGGGGCCGGCCGGGCGGGCCCAGGGGAGCCCGGCAGGGCTGTGGGAGCCCGGGGCGCCCAGCCCGCCCGCACAGCCAGCAGCTGTTGGCGACACCCACAAGGGCGGCTTTGTTTACACCGGTGCCCACGGTCCCAGCGGGAGGGTGTGTTACCTCCAGGCTGGGCAGCAGGCAGCCAGCCATTGGTGGCCTCAAAGGACCTGGCAGTCAGCCTTTGTGGGCGGCCTCACCCGCCCCGGAAGGAGAGGTGCTTGGGATGCTTTCCTCCCTCTCGCTGCCGCCCTCGTCTCCCTGGGGAACTGGCCGGGCCGGCCCCTCCCCATGGTTCCCATCCGAGAAACCATGAGGCTGATGTCAGACCGGAAGGCATGCCCTGGGGTCACAGAAGTGGGGGACCCAAGCTGGGATGTGCCAGCCTGCTCCAGGGGTCTTGCTCTCACCAGGCCACTCACGGCTCCCAGAACAGAGGCCACTTCCCTGGGTGGGCCAGCTGGACCCAGGCTCAGAAGGCCTGCAAGCTTATTGGGGGAAGGGGACTGAGGTCCACAGGAGGGGCAAGGGACAGAGGACCTGGGGGACGGGGCAGGGAGAGGTGCCTAAGGGGACTGTGGGTGGGCCACAAGAAGGGGACCGAGAGGGCCTTGGAGACACGGGGGGGGGGGGGGGGGTGCTGAAGGGACCCGAGGGACAGTAAAAGGACTGGACCACAAGTAACGATGGGCCCTGGGCTACCCCCACCTTCCTGAGCACCCTGCCCCTCCCTGGCCACCAGGGCATCGTCCCTGGTCTGGTCCGAGGGCCGGCTCCAGCAGCAGCCGGTGCTGACATGTGCGGCACTCCAGCCTCCACCGGATCAGCTCTCTGGCTCCTCTCAGCGCAGGGTTCTGGGCAAGAGCCGGCATCCACCGAAGCTTTCTTTGCGGGTTGGTGGCGCGGGGTCCGGCTGGGGTGGTGGGCAGCCCCGAGCTGTCTGTCGGGGCAGGAGGCCCAGGCCGCTTCCCTGGTGTCTGGTTACCGGCAGGCGGCAGACAAACCTTCCCGGGTGGAAACCCAACGCGCCCCCGCGGGGAGGGGCAGGGGGCCGGTGGGGAGTGGCAGGTGCCGGCTCCAGGTGGGGGGGCCGCGCTCAACCTCGTCCTTCCTCGCCGGGCTGGGGGCCTTTGCCCACCTCGCTCGTGGGCTCCAGGTGTGGGCGGCGCCTGGGGTCGGGGCCGCACCCGCTTCCCGGTAGGTCTGTGGGGCTGAGCGGCCTCGGCCGCCCGCAAGGCAATCCCGAGTGCCGGGAAAGCGAGCGCCAGCTCACCGTGCCAGCCGGCCCCGCCCGCCGCCCCGCCCGCAGGGAGGAAAAGGCAGAACGGGGAGCGGGGAGACGAGGCGCTCGGGGCCACCGGGTCCCCCGTCACTGCGCCACACGCCTACTGGGAGGGGAGGCCGCGCCGCGGGTGGGTGGCGCCCTCCAGGCCGAAGCGCAACAGTGGGGCCGGGCGGCGGCAGGGCTGTCCGCGCCCGCCCCTCGCGCGCGTCCTCTGGGCGGCAGGGCGTGGGAACCGGCCGGCCCTCCCTGCGCCCACCAGGAAGGGCCCAACCGCATCCCGCCTCCCCGGACTCCAGAATTCTCCTTCGGGGACCCTCCGTGCTCCCGAGCGCGGCTGGGTGCCTTCTGCCCCCGGCGGCCGCGGGGAGAAACCATTCCGGCCGGGGCGGGGGCCCTGGGCGTCCAGCCCGGCGGGGCGGTCCGCTCCCGCGCGCGCGCGCTGGCGCCCCCAAGCGGCCGCTGGGGGCAGCGAAAGCGCTACTGCAACCCCAGCGCGGGAGGCGCGGGTCTCCCCTGCAGGGCCTGTCCCCGAGGGAAGATCACCCACATTTGGGTCACAGCCTCGTTTATTTGCTAAGAAGGCGAACCGGCTGGCTCGGAGGTCCGCCGCTGCTGGGACCCCCCCCAGGGAATCCAGAGCTTGCTGTGGGGTGGGGGCGCCCCTCACAACTGCTGGGAGGCGAGGATCTCGGGGTTCTCGTGGCCGCGGGCTTCCTTGGTGGGAGTGGGCAACGGGCAGCAGCGGGTCACCAGGCGGTCCCAGGGCGCCAGCGAGCGGAGCCCGAGGGGAAGCCAGGCCCAGGATCGCAGAGGGCGGGGCAGCCAGGCCGGCCGTCGCCGCTGCAGGACGTGGACCAGGACGGCGAGCAGCGCCAGCCCCGCCAGCGGCCCCCCGACGGCGGCCAGCACCGTGCCCCCCGCCAGGGAGAGCCCGAAGGCGGCCAGCGGCAGCAGCAGGAAGCTGAGCAGTAGGTAGGCGACCGCCACCCAGCGGTAGCGGGCGGTCAGGTCCCCGAAGCGCTTGGCTAGCGGAATGGGCAGCCGCAGGGCGGGCACGACGTACCACAGCAGGAGGCCAGCCAGGTTGAAGAAGAAATGGATGAGGGCGACCTGGAGGGTGGGGGGTGCGGCAGGCAGGGGCGCGTGACACGGGGTCCTCTGAGCCCCCAGGCTGCCAGCTCCACACCACGCCTGCCCCGCCCTGGCGGAAGGGGCCAGAAGTCCAAAGCCAGCCTGGGGTCCTGCTCATTGGTGGAACAGGCCACCTGGGACGGCAGGTCTCCACAGGAGTGGTGGGCGCGCTCCCCCTGCACTGCCCCCCACTTTGGGGGTGACTGCGTCGCCGACAGGCGCCTGGATCCGACAACCCCCTTCGCTCAGGCCGGCGTGGCTCGCCCGCAGCGCGTCCCTGGCCCTCCGCTCCGCTCCTTCTCACCCTCAGTGGGCTTGGCCACCCGGCCCCAGCCCCCCGCCCTGGGCTTGGGCAGGCCCCTGCGGGGAGGAGGTAACACACGGCCGCCCAGGGGCCGCTGGACGCGAGGAGCCGGGGCTGGTGGGCGCAGCTGGGAGGGCGCCCTGGAGGGGAGGGGAGCCAGGCCCTGCCCTGGGAGGGTCTGAGTGGACAGCTGGCAGGAGGCAAGGGCCCGGGTCGCTCTCTTCCTGTGGGCAGCACCCGGCAAGCCTGGGCTTCGGGAGCAGCACCTGCCTGGGCCCCCAGGCCGAGGCGGTGGCAGAGGGACACTCGGCCGCAGCCGAGGACCCCCGGGATCGGCAGGACGAGGCGGGCCGGGCCGCAGGGCACTGGGCTGGGCTGGGGGTGGCTTCCTCAAGGCATGGATAGCCCAGCACAGGAGGGGCCGGCCCTTGCAGGAGCGGGCGACGAGTGGGGGGCAGTATGTGGGAGGCGGTAGAATAGAGGGGCTCCAGGCCCCCCAGTGCCAGGAGGCCTGGAAGGAACACAGCCAGGCTCACGGGGGGAGGAGGTGGAGGCACAGAGAGGAAGGTGCTGAGGGCACCCCGGGACCACTCAAGGTTGCAGGGGAGGAGAAGCGGGACTGGGGGTCCCAGGGAGGGCCGCGGGGTCCCTGGGGCCACGGAGACAGGGCAGCTGGTCTGAGCGGGCAGTTGGAGGTGCGTCCCAGGGGAGCGTCAGCCAATGGCCAGCCCAAGGCAGGCCTCGCGCTGCCCGTCTGCAGGGCCCGGCGCGGGCGGCGGGCGCCCGGGAGTGGGAAGGGCAGTACCTGGAGAGCGCTGAGCAGCACGTTGGCGGGGCTGGCCAGGGCGGCCAGCAGAGCCGTAGCGGTCGTGCCGATGTTGGAGCCCAGTAAGAGGGGGTACGCCCGCTCCAGGCTGATCACCCCAACCCCTGGAGGAGCCAGAGGTCACCTCGGGGCCCCGATCCCGTGCCCCACACCCGCGCCCCGCGCCCTGGCGCCCGCCGGCCCGGCTCACCCATGAGCGGCACAACGGCCGCTGTGAAGACGCTGCTGCTCTGGAGCACAAAGGTCAGGCCGGCGCCCACCAGGATGGCCAGGTAGCCGCTGAGCCAGCGGACCGGGAAGGGGAAGTCTGGGGAGGAAGCTGGGTCATGCCCCGGCCCAGCCTCCCCGCCCCAGCTGGGGCCCCGCCTTTGTCCCGTGTCCCGACGCACCAGCGTGGATGACGGCCCTCACGGCCCGGGCGACGCGGCCGCGCAGCATGGAGTGGAGCAGCTTGACGACGAGGACCAGGCAGGAGCACAGGACGAGCAGGGAGCCTGCCAGCAGGACGAGGCCCACGGCCAGGTCCGTTAGCGCGGTGCCCGCGAACAGGTGGCGGCCTGGTGGCAGGGCGGCAGGGTGAGGGGCGGCGAGCAGCGCCCCGGGCGGGCGGGGCGGGCGGGGCTGGGGGCGCTGGGCCTCACAGGGCAGTGGCTCCGTGGCGGCCGAGCCGTTCCTCTGAGGGTCGGGGCCAGAGGCGGCCGATCCGTGGCGGCTGCTGTTGTTCCCTGGGGTCTGGGGGCACAGGCAGGGTGGGCTCAGAGCTGGCGCGCAGCCAGCCGGGCCCGAAAGCGCCGCAGGCGGAGGGTGGGATGAGCCGCCTCACCGTCTCCCGGGCGCCGCACCATCGCTTGAGGAGGCTGCCGTTGGTGGCGTTGCCCGCGGCGCTGCTGGCTAGCACGCCTGTGTCCAGCTGCGGACAGAGGGGTCGAGACCCTGTGCTGGGCTCTCAGGAACGCGGCTGGAGCTCAGACCACGGGGGGTCCAGACCCTTCTCCGCTGGGCAGCCCCCGCCTCACCTGCACAATGAGGTGTGTGAGCGGCCGGGTCAGCACCTTGAGGATGTCCGGAGCGTGCCCGCCGGCCTGCCGGCGGGCGGCCCCCAGGGCCAGGGCGCTGAGCGTCTGCAGCGGGGCCGCGGCGCTCTCCAGCGGCAGCAGTATCAGCACCGTGAGCCAGTTGAAGATGCTGTGCACGGCGGAGCCACCAAAGGCCCTGCAGCCCCGGGGAGCGGAGAGGGGTCAGCGGCCTGGGCTCCGCCCCGAGGGCAGTCCCGGCCCCGCCCCCCACTCACCTCCGAAACTCATCCCGGTCCCCTGACTGCGCCATAGAGACCAGGGTGCTGGTGATGGACGTGCCCACGTTGACGCCCATGATGATGGGCACAGACGCCTGGACGGTCAGCACTGTGGTGGGGGCAGTGCGTCAGCCTCCCGCGGACCCCCCACCGTCCCGGGACAGGAGGGGCACTCACACTTGGAGGCCACCATGCTGACCACGATGGCGGAGGACGTGCTGGAGCTCTGCACGAGCACCGTGGCCAGCACTCCGATGACCAGCCCGGCCACAGGGCTGGACAGCACCACGTCGTCCTTGAAGATGTCTCCGGCCACCTTGCCTACACCCGGGAGAGGCGCGCTGAGGCCGTGAGGGCCTGGCTGCCCGCCCGCCCCGCCCGCCCCGCCGGTCACTCACTACCCAGCAGCTGGAAGGCCGAGCTCAGGATGTCCAGCGAGCAGATGAACACGTAGAGACCTCCCAGGAGCCCACAGGCCTTGAGGAAGCCAAGGAGCGCCCGCAGCAGCCTGCCGGCCGCGCTGAGCTCTGAGGACACAGGGCAGGGCTTTCCGCGCTGAGCTCTGAGGACACAGGGCACAGCCCCGCCCTCCGTGCCCTGCCCCCCGCCTCCTCGCCCCCTGCCCCGGCCCCCCAACCCGGGGCCAGGCCCGGGTTCTCGCCTCGGTTCCTTCGCAGAATGGCCCCCAGGAGTCTGACTGCCAGCAGGAGGGAGGAGGAGGGGCAGGGAGCCGAGCGGGGCGGAGGGTGGTCTTCGTGGTGGGCTCCCCGTTGCGGCCCACGCCCTCCCTCCTCTCTCTCCCTGAGGACCCAGGTAGACCCCGGGCAGTCAGAGCCCCGCAGGCCAGTTTCCTGGCACCTCCAGACCCACCTCGCCAGGGCCGGCCAGTGTCCTTCAGCTGAGGGAGGGCCCAGGGGTCCATGTCTCCCTCTGCCAACACGGAGGCGGGACTGGGGCTCTCTGCAGGGGTCGGGGTCAAGAAGAGCCCAGGAACTAGCTGTTTCCTGGGCACTCTCAGGTAGGCGCAGAAAGGGGTGGGGAGGCCCATGGCATGGGGGCTTGGGGTGAGGGACAGAGGCAAGGAGTTGGGGAGAGGGGCTGCCAGCTCGTCTGGCCCGGCTGAGTCATCCCAAGCCCCCCGCCGCCTGCCCGGAGCTGAGGGTCCCGGGCTGGGCTCCTGGTACCTGCATCTCCTAGACTCTGCTCCTCCAGGCCAAACGCGTCCAGGGTCAGGGGACTGACGTGGCCACCAGCCAGGGAATTCGGCATGGGATTTGGACAGGGCAGACCCAGGCCCAAGCCCGGATCTGTGGGCAGAAGGGCGGGTCGGACCCCTCTCCCCCCTCCTCTGGCCCCGCCAGGTCCCCGGGCCCCCTAACCTGAGACCACAGAAGCGGCCCTCCCTCCCCACCGTGCGCCACCCTGGTGACCTCCTCTGTCCTCCATCCACAGGCTGAGGCTCCAGGGACCTCAGACGGCTGTCAGGCGAGCCCAGGCCAGTCCCAGGGGGCAGACTCCAGGGCCCTCGCGGCCCGGCTCCCTCGCTGGTCCTGGCTGGGAGCAGGCCTGGAGGGCGGCCCAGGGCGCAGGGTGCTGAGGTGCCGCCTGGAAGTGGCTGGGAGCCTGGACCCGGGGACCCTCCTCTACCTGGTGCCACCGGCGCCGTTGCTTAGACCCTGGGCTTTGACACCCAACGGCGCCATCTAGGCTCGACAAGGACCCCACCCCAGGGACGGGGCCAGGACGGGGAGCCGGGGCTCCCGCTCCACCTCTCGGCCGGCTGCTCTGCTCAGCGGCCGCGCCGGCCCCGCCCCGCCCGCTGCCTCGGTTCTCCCGGCCCCCAGGCCTGAGCCTGGAGGCCCGCTGCCCCCCTCCCTGCCGTCTCCCCGCAGGCCAGCCTTCACCCTGGGAAGGCAGCAGCGGCCCCGGGCCTGCAGGTCGCCCGGCCCTGGCCCCCGTCCTGGGCCTCGCCGTTCCTACCTGTGTGGCTGGCGAGGGGCACCTGGGGGGAGGAGGTTTGGGGCAGGAGCAGCCGCAGGTCAAAGATCCGCTGGGCGCACATGACCTGCCGCGGACTGAGCCCCATTAATGGTTACCCAGGCGCGAGGCCCCGGGGTCCCCATTGGAGACGGGGCCTGGCCTGGTCTGCGTCCCACCGCACCCTTGGGCAGGTGCTCCGGGGCGGGCGCCGGCATGGCAGGGCCGCCGGATGTCCACAAGCAGGCGCCTGCGTGACGCGGCGGCCGCCCACCCAGGCCCGGCTCCGGCCGATCAGCCTGGGGGGCCCGCGGGAGGCCTGGCCGTCCCTGTGCCTGGCCGGCGCTGGGAAAGAAGCCCTTTATATCAGCTGGGCAGGAGGGCACCAGCACGGAGGCCGCGGGGCAGAGCCCCCAGCAGGCCCACCCCGCCCCCTGCCCCGCGGCAGCCGGCCACAGAGGGTTGTGAGGCCTCTGCCCACCCCACCTGGACCAGGAGGCCCGGCCGCCCGACCCCTCTCTCCACAGCAGTGCCCTCCTGGCCCCATCGCTTGTGGGGTGCCCCTCCTGGGGGTCCCTCCCTTCCTGTTCCTAGGGTGGCGGGAGGAAGAGCAGCCCCTCCCCCACCGGGCCTGGTCTGCCCAGGGGGCCTGCCGGCGGCACCCTGCCTGCTGCCCACCAATCCCTGTGGGCCTGGGGGACTTTGCCCCAGGGAGGGAGGAGGATCCTGAGTGCCCTCTCAGCAAATTCCCTGCTCCCTCCCTTTCCTGCCACCCCCACCCCCGTGGGCCCAGCAGCCTCTCCTGTGGGGCCCTGGGTGGCAGCTCCTCCCCGATGGATGGGGGCGGTGGGGATGCTGCAGCCGCACCGCGGGGTGTCCGCGCCACAGCCTCCAGCGCCTGCCGGGGCCCCTCCAAAGGTCTGTGTGGTGGCCACTGGGAGCCAGGAAGAAGCCGGGGCCCAGGGGAGGCCCCGTGCTATGCGACCTCAGGCAGCCCACCTCCCTGGGCCTGGAGCTGACCCTCCCCGGGACACTTGTCACAGCAGGGACTCTATGCCTGCGGGGGACCCTCCTGGAACAGCAGCAGACACACAGTGGGGGCTCAGTGAGCTTTGTTGAGAGAAAACCGCACCCGGCTGCCCCGCAGGCTGCCCCTCCCTCCGTGCCCAGCTCAGACCTCCGGCACGGTCGCGGGCGAGGAGAGACCCGCTCCAGCAGGACCAGAGTCACCCTCTGAGCAGAGTCCAGGCCGGGGCTGGGCTTGCAGATGGCGCCGACGCCCGCGCCCCCGCCCCGGCTCGCACAGGGGCCAGCCCGGGGCCTGGGAATCCCAGGGGGTTGGACGGGCCGGCACCGGTCCCTGCAGAGTCTCTCAGTACAGCGGGCACTGCCCCTGACCTCAGGCCGTGGCCCAGGGGCGCCCGTGGTGGGCAGCCCCCGGGACGCTCAGTCCCCAGGCACGCTGCGAGCACCGCAGCTGCTGGAGCTCAGGCCTCGGGGCTGCCCGGGGGGTCCCAGCAGAGGGGGCCGCAGCCCCAGCAGCAGCACCCGGGCGAGGGGAAGCGGGGCTGGGGGCCCAAGGCGGGGCAGAGCGCGGCCGGCTGCTGAGTGACGGCGCTGCCCCCTTTGAGGGGCGCGGGGGGCCGGGGCCCCACGCGCGGCGGCTCTCGCTCGGCCTTGATGGCCAGGAAGGCGGCCAGGTCGAGGTCCAGCATGGCCACCCCTCCGCGGGGCGTGGGCGTGCTCTGGCGGCACTGCGGGCAGGGGATCCAGCGTTGCTCGTGGGCTGGCACGTCCAGCCGCCGCACGCACGCCTGGCAGAAGGTGTGGCCGCAGTACAGGCGGCGGGGCAAGTGCCCCGTGAGGTCGTAGGCCGAGTAGCAGATGATGCAGTCACTCCGGCGGGCCCCGGCGGCCGTGCCCTCCTCGGAGGCCTGGAGACCTTCCGGCTGCAGCATCCTGCGGGGAGGGGGGGGGGGCGCGGGGGGCGGGGGCTGCAGCTGCCCCGCCCTGCTTGGCCACGTCCTGCGGGCCAAGGCCCTGGTGCCTGGAGCCCGCCCTGGCACCCAGGCCTGTGCGCGTGCCGGGGCCTGGGCGCCCCCCGGGCCCCCGGGGGCCAGCACCCTGCCCAGCTGCCTCATCCCTCACGGCCCTTCGGGTCTGCCCCAGGCCCTGCCCACCCCAGCCTGCCTGAGCCCAGGCCTCTTACCTGCATCCGCTCTGCTGGGTGGCTCTGCCCAGCCAGAGGGTGGCCGGGCGTGCGGGGACCCAGGGCGCCCTGCGGCTCCCTCCCTGGGGCTCACGTTACTGGCCGAGCCCGCGGCGGCAGGGAGGCAGGTGGTGGCTGCAGGCGCGCGGGCTCCCCTTTCAGCCACAAAGCACCTGCAACTGGATCCACCGGCGCCCCTCCGCTCTGCCCAGCCCCCACCCCCCGGGTGACGCTCGCCCCGCAGCCAGGCCGGGCTTTGCTGCTCCTCCCGGACCATCTTCCTCCGCCCAGCCGGCCCCCAGCCCCACCCTCGTACTCCCTCCTGTCTCCCCATGCCCATGCTCCCCCTCCCATGCGAGGAAAGCTTCCTGGTCCCGACCTGGGTGATGCCAGGTCTTCCTCTCAGATCAAGCACCGCCTCCTCCAGGAAGCCTGCCAGGACTCCCCCCCCCCCGCCGCCCCCCGGCTCAGAGCCCTGAGGGCCCTGCTTCGCTCCAGCTCAATCGCAGTGTGAGGGTCCCCAGTGATTTGCACCGGTGCCTTCCCCCCTGCCTTAATCACGGGGCGGTGGCTGCCCTCGAGAGGCCCAACGGAGGCCCTCAGGCATGGGTATGGGGTCCCCACACGCACACGTACACCGGCCAGAAGCTGAGGCGCACACATCGTGGGCAGCCCTGGACTCTCCTACCCAGGGCCGCCTCCTTCGAGGGCCAGCCCGGGGACCGGGACACAGGCCTGCAGAGCGGGGTGTGCAGAGAAGGGCCAGCATGGGCCAGGGCCCAGGGCCCTCTCCGCCCGGCGGGGAGGAAGCCAGAGGCCGGAGGGGCCCTCCTGTGCCCATCACCCTGGCAGCCCGAAGCCTCATGGACTGACCGGACGGCTTTCTGGGGCTGGCCTGGGTGGGGGTCATCCTCCGGCGGGGGCCGGCCACACCCAAGGCCCTGCACAGTCAAGCCAAAGACATGTCTGTCCCCTCCCAGAGACCGGTCCTGCCGTGTGGCCAGTCACCGAGGGTCGGGGGAGGGAGGGCCAGAACCAGGACCTGTCTGTCCTGCGAGGCCAGCTCGGCCTCCTCCTCGGCCGTCTCTGCCCAGGCCCGGAAACGCCAGGGTTTTAGGGTTAGGGTTAGGCCCCGGCATCCCGGCCTCGCCCCAGCGGTGAGGCAATGCCAGCTCAGCAGCCGAACTCCCCGCACGTCCTCCCGAGCGGACGTGTTGTTCTGTGCGCGCCGGGAGGCAGGTGCTCTGGGGGCCTCCCCCCACCCCCCCAGGGCCCTTGAGGCCCACCTCCTCCGGGAAGCCCAGGCCCCGGGAGCTGGGGAGCTGGGGAGCTGGGGAGCATGGCCTGGCACCCCACAGCGGGTGTCTGGGCACTGGCTGATTCGTGGGAAGCCAGCAGTGTCCTGGCTGAGGCAGGGCGGTGACTCAGTGGTGAGCAGGGCTCGGTCCTGGCCGCCTGGGCTCCCACTCCCAGAAACCGGCCAGCCCCGGTGCCACCCAGCACTGCCTTCCAGTCCGGTCCGCCTGGGGGCCTCTCTGGGGGGCTCTAGACCCCAGGTCCCATGCACAGCACCCCGCTGTTGAACCCACAAGCTGACGTGTCTCCCAGCTGGAACCCAGGCCCGGCAGGGACAGGGGCCGGGGACAGGCCCCCGCCCTCCTGTGCAGCCTCGGGCAGACCTGAGACCTGCAGGGCAGGGGAGAGAGAGTGGCGGCACAGTGGCTGTCCTGCCCCCACGTGTCCCCAGAGGCCGGGGCCCTGTCGTGTCACCCGGCCCGTGTCCCCTCCCGAAAGGAGTCGCCTGAAGAAAGCTCGCTCTGCTTTATTGCCTGGGCCCCGGACCATGGGGGAGGGGATCAAGGGTGTCCCTGGGCTGCCGCCACGGCCAGTGCCCAGGGCGCCTTTGCCAGGGGTCTGAGCAGAGCCGTTGGCCTTCGTGGCGCATAGGGGTCCCTGTCGAGGGCGAAGGGGCCGACGCCCATGGCGGAGGCCCAGCGGCTGCTCCCAACGTCCACGCGCGGCCGTGGCGGCCCGAGCAGAGTCCTGGGCCCGCTGTGCGGGGCGTCCTGGGCAGGCCGCAGGCCGCAGCCCAGCAGGGGCCGGGCTAGGAGACGACGCAGCAGCAGCTGTGGCAGCGGCAGAACCGGGGACAGTGGCAGCAGGGGCAGCAGGGGCAGCAGCAGCAGTGGTGGGCGATGTCGTCGCCGCGCCCGACGGGCGGCAGGCCCGCGTAGGTCAGTCCCGCGGGGCGCTGCCCCCTGCCACAGGGGGCGCCCGGGTGCTGCCAGGTCTGCTGGCCCTTGACAAAGGCGGCCCCCTTCGCGCCCTTGGCGCCCTTGGGGCCCAGGGCCACCTCGACGGGTTGCAGGAGGCGGGTGGGCTCCAGGGGGCAGGGGCCCACGGGCAGGGCCTGCAGCTCCGCAGCGGGGGGCGCCGCCTCCAGCTGCCGCTCCAGCTCGGGCCGCAGGTGAGCCCGGGGGATGCTGATGTGGGCGTACGGGTTCTTGACGACCATCTCGTGGGGGTCCATGGCCCGCCTGGCAGGGGTGGACAGAGGGGGCTCTTGGCTCCATGGAGGGGAACGGCCACAGCCCGAGAAAGCGCCCACCCCGAGAAAAGCCAGGCTGGGCAGGCACGGGGGTGCCGGGCCGGGGCCAGTGTGCGTGCGCCTTGGGGCGCGCCGAGCCCAGGGCCAGCGAGGGCCCGTCTCCCAGCCGCCCCCCCCCGGCGTCCCGACCGTCCCCGAGTGGCCGTGCCCTGGGTGGAGCTGGGCACGGGTGGGGGAGTCTGGAGACACCGCCGAGCGGGTCCCGCAGGGGAGCCCCAGGGCGGGGAAGGCCCAGGACCCACCTGAGGTGGCAGCGGCAGCGTGTCCCCGTGTCGTCCTCTAGGCCAGGGCTCAGTGCCTGTGAGCAGAGCGGCTGGCAGCTGCCTTTTCCCTCCCGGGGAGGGGTGGGGCCACGGGCGGGGCTCAGAAGCGGGGTTCCCAGGATCCCAGGAGGCTCCTGCTCCTCCGCACAGGGGCCCCCCACCCGTGCTTCTCAGGTGGGCGGCGGCCATGGCCTGGCTCTGAGGGGCACGGCCAGCCCGGCTGACTCAGCCTCGACACATTCCAGGCACGTCCTGGGTGCAGCAAGGAGGGCAGGCGCAGGCCAACCTGGGGACAGGTCCTCCGATCCCGGCCTCTGGTGGCCCACGGGCTCCCGCCTTCGCGTACAGGCCGCAGAGCCCCTGCCTCGCCGTGGCAGAGGGCGGAAGTCCTCGCGGCGACCGCAGCCTCCGCGCGGCAGACAGGGTCGGGGCCGTGAGAGCAGGGGCCACCGGAGGGATGCCTTTTATTGTTTGTTTGTTTGTTTGTTTAAAGCTTTTATTTATTTATTTTTAGGGAGAGGGGAAGCGCGGGGGAGAAACGCTGATCGGGCACCTCTCCCGCGCCTCCAGCGGGGTGGGGACCTGGCCCGCAATCCGGGCCAGTGCCCTGACTGGGAATCGAACCCACGACCGTTCAGTTTGGGGGGTCCGTGCTCAGCCCACTGAGCCTCACTAGCCAGGGCTTGCTTGCTTGCTTGCTTGATTTATTTTTAATGGATGAAAAATTGACACACTTTTGCTTATAAAACTTTCTTAAAACTGGTGACACGCACTTCATACACAAGTGACATTTCTAGCTCACTTTTGAAGCCCGTTTCCCTCGGCTTCCCGGGCTTCCGCGGCCGCGAGTCTCCCCTGCAGCGTCCCCGTCCTTGGCCCTCGATTCGGCTCCCACCTTCATGGGAAGGTGGCACTGAGCATCTGCCACAGAGGGCGGCTGTGTTTGGGGGTGACAGTGGATGTAAACAGTTGTCAACGCTGGCACTCGTGAGCTCCCCTGGGGCGACTGGACGCAGCAGGGTGCGCCCAGACCAGCGCCCCCAGCGCGTGCTGCCCCGGGGAACCCACAGGAAGGGCGAGATCAAATCAGACGTGGTTCAGAGGCCAGGGTCACACGGGTGGCATGTGCGGGTCCGGTCGGACCGGTTGGGACACGAGTTCTACCGATGCGGCAACCGGTGGGGTGGCGGGGTGGGGAAACTGGGCCTCGAACTTGGAAGGCCGAAGACTGAGGTCCTCTGCGCAGGCGCCACAAGCCCCGCCCACCGCTCCTGCAGACTCCGCCCCTCGCTGGGAAGCTGATCTAACGCATGCGCGAAACAAGCCCGAGGCGGCCTGTGGGAACTTTATTCCCCAGAAGCCTCCGCGCTCGAAGGTTTCCTTAAAGACCCCGGGGTCTCCTGGCCTTGGAACGTCCAGAACCGGGCTTGGGCCGTCCCGGCTCTGAACCACGGAGCTCGCGAGGCGGGGACATGCGGCGGGGTTGGGGGGGGACGCGGGGGCGTGCACGGGGCGGGACCTCATCCCTGGGGGCGGGGCCTCGGAGTGGGGGCGGGGCTTGGTGCCCCCGTGCGCGCGCGCCCAGCGGGTGAGTGGCAGGGCTGCGCGGAGCCCGTGGCTGAGGCTGGGCTCCCACGTGTCCCCTGGCCCAGGCGGCCTCAGTTGCCCTTCTTGCTAGGGCCGCATAAGGCCCTCACTGCCCGTCTCACTGGGCTCCTGCTCACTTGCGCACCTCTCACACCTGCTCCTGCTGAATGACAGGAAACAGGCCCAGACACTAGCCTGAGGTCACACACGGCCCCACGGGCCAGGGACGGTCCTCCAGCCTGTTTTGCCCCCAGGGCTCCCTTACCAGAAACACCGACCTTTCTGAGCTCTGTTGTCCCGCAGGATGTGGGGACTATGGGCTGCCTGGCTCGCACAGGGGAGAGCGGGCTGTGGCCCGAAAGGGCTGGGACAGCCCAGGGTCAGGAGAGGGCCCAGTGCGTGTCCCGAGACTGCGGGCGGCAGCACTTGAGGCTCCCGCAGACCTGTTCCCCTGCCTTGTAGTTGCCCCCACGTCCTCTATTCTCGCAGGCACCTGCGGGCTCCCTGCAAGCAGAGGGTGCACCCAAGGGAACAGGGGAGCTGGGCCCAAGAAGGAAGCAGAAAGGAGTGAGGCTTCTCCGCGGGGTGGGGCGGGGTTAGCATTCAACTGTGCGGCTGCTGGGCACGTGCTAACCGGACGGGATGCCGGAAAGGGCCCCCCCCCCCGACCCCGGCCTGGGTGGGTGCGTGCCCTCCGTGGACTGCCCCCAGGGGCGTGTCCAGCTGCCCAACCTTCCAAATACCCCTCACCTCCCCCTCATCTGCCCAACCTTCTCCCAACTTCTGCTCGCCCCCCAGTCCACTCTGATATCTGCTCGCCTACCCTGCTCACCCTCTTAGGCCACTTGCCCTCCGTGCGCCTGCCAGCGCTGGGAAGAGCCTGGGTGCACCTGTGAGCTGGAACACGCCGGACGCGTCCCCACGGGGGGCTCAGGGAAAGGACGAGCAGAGACCCTGACTTTCTGGGGGGGGGGGCGCTGGCAGGGGGGGAAACCAGCTTTCCAGGGACCACCTCTTGGAGCCTCTCCCCTCCCTCTGGCACTGAAAGGCTTTGGGCTGCGAAAAGACTTCGTTTCCAGAATTGAGAGTGGGGGGACTTGATTAGGAGCCAGGGTCGGCCAGGTGGGGACGGGGCGCGGGGAGGGGGGACTGGAGGAGGGGTGACGCGGGAGTCCTCACCCGCACGCGGTCCGCGGGCGATGGGCGACCCCAGGGGCGGGCGCCAGGCCCTCTGCGGATTGAGGGGCGGCCGAGAGACTGGCCCCGCCCCGCGGACCCCGCGCGGGTCCCCAGACGGGGGGTGGCGCTGCAGGCGCGGGCGGGCGCCGCGCGCACTGCGGTCCCCGCGCCTCCGCCGCAGAGCGCGCCACGCTTCGCACGCACCTGCCGCCGCCGCGCCGCACCGAGCCCGCGCCCCGCGCCCCGCGCCCCCGGGAGTCGCCGCGGCCGCGCCATCGCCCCAGGTCGCCGCCGGAGCCGCCGGAGCCGCCGGAGCCGCCGGGCCGAGGCGCGGGCGCCGCGTCCGGGCCTGCCTTTGAGACAACCTCTGCGGCGGCGGCGCGCGGCTCGGGGACGCCAGGCTGGGGCAGGTGAGCGCGGGCGGGGCGGGACGGCCTCGGGGTCCCAACGCGCCGCTCCTCCCCACCCCTGCAGGGGTCGGGCCTTGGGGGCGGGGACTGGGAGGGAGCTGGGTTCCGAGGCCAGCGAGGGTCAGGGTCAGAGGTCGGGCGCCCGGTCTTTTGTGCCGGACAAGGGCGAGGGTGGGGGCGAGGGTGGGCCCGGGCGCTGCCCTCACGCTGTCTCTCACCTGCAGCTCGGGCCTGGTCCAGGCCTCCTCTCTGCTCCCGCCACCGCGGAGCCCGCGGCCCGGGTCCACCCGCAGCCGGGGCTCCGGCTAGCTGCCTTCCCTGGGCACCCTGCCCTGGAGTCATGGGGCCCACCTAGCCCCCGCCTGCCCGGATGTCCCAGCCCGGGGACTGCTGACCGCGGCTGCAGGGGGAGCCCCCCCAAAGCCCCCTCGCCAGCCTCAGCGGCCGGAGACCCTGGGTGAGCCCCTGGGCCAGACGGCCGGCCCAGGGCAGCCTCCCACGCCCCCCTGCCCCTGCCTCCCTCCACCTCCCCCACCCCTTCCTCCTCCTCCTAGGACTGGACCAGAGAAGCCACTGTGGCCACTAGGAGGGGCCCTGCCCCCTCAGCTCCCACTGGTCGCCCCCAGGAGTCCTCAGGGTGGCCGGGGTCCCCACCAGGCCTGGCGGGACCAGGATGCTGCCCCTGCTCCTCCCCCCCGGCCCCACCCAACGCCCCCTCCCACCCTAACGCCCAGCCTGACAGGAGACAGCCGGATGCCGGCTGACCCTGGGCCCGAGGCGGGCAGTGGCTGGCCGGGCCTCCTCATGTCCTGCCTGAAGGGCCCCCATGTCATCCTCAAGATGGAGGCCATGAAGATTGTCCACCCTGAGAAGTTCCCCGAGCTGCAGGCGGCCGCCCCCTGCTTCCCACCTGCCCCCCGGCCCACCCCAGCTCTGGCACCCAAGCGCGCCTGGCCCTCAGACACAGAGATCATCGTCAACCAGGCATGTGGAGGGGACATGCCTGCCTTGGAAGGGGCGCCCCGCACCCCGCCCCTGCCGCGGCGTCCCCGCAAAAGCAGCGCAGAGCTGGGCTTCCCCCGTGGGGCGCCCGTGGACGAGGTCATCGTGAATCAGTACGTGATGCGGCCCGGTCCCGCCGCCGCGGGGGCCCCCGGCGTGGCCTCGCCCGCCGCGGGCGAGCCCCTGGAGTGCCCCACCTGCGGGCACACGTACAACGCCACCCAGCGGCGGCCCCGCGTGCTGTCCTGCCTGCACTCGGTGTGTGAGCAGTGCCTGCAGATCCTCTACGAGTCCTGCCCCAAGTACAAGTTCATCTCCTGCCCCACCTGCCGCCGCGAGACTGTGCTCTTCACCGACTACGGCCTGGCCGCGCTGGCCGTCAACACGTCCATCTTGAGCCGCCTGCCGCCGGAGGCGCTGACCGCCCCGTCCGGCGGTCAGTGGGGCGGCGAGCCCGAGGGCAGCTGCTACCAGACCTTCCGGCAGTACTGCGGGGCCGCGTGCACCTGCCACGTGCGGAACCCGCTGTCCGCCTGCTCCATCATGTAGTGCCGCCCGCCCGCCGCCGCCCGCCGGCCCCCGCGCTGCTGCTCTGGGGACCCGGCCCCGCCACAGCCCCCTCTGCCCCCTCGCCTGTCACAGCTTCTGCCCCCACCTGTGTGGCATTGTCGCTGCAGCCAACTTTGCCATTAAAACTCTGCCAAAGTTTGCACCTTGTCTATGGACTGGAGCACACTGCGGCGGCCTGCGCCTGAGCCCGGGCGGGCACTGCGGACAGCAGCCCAGGACGGCCGGGCCCGGCTGTGTGCATGCGCATGCGTGTGAGCACGCCGCGCACCCGTGCAGGGATGTGCGGGCCGGTGTGCAGAACGCGCCCAGCCGGGCCGAGAGGAGCTTTGTGTGCCCTGGCCACCGGACGTGGGGGTGGCTGTGTGGCGGACGGCCTGGCCCCCGTGCGTCCTGGCAACCGCCTGACCTCAGAGGCGGTGTGGGAACGACCTCGGGGCCAGCCTGGGCCGGGGTCAGGTCGTGGGAGGGAACGAGGGCCCGGGCGCCGGCTCTCTGGCCCTTGGACAACCTGGATTCGGAGAGAGAGGCTTGTCCAGGGCAGGGAGCAGGGCTGCCCGGACAGAGACGAGGGGCGAAGGGGAGGTCACCAAGGTAGCAGCAGCGCCCACAGCGGCTGCCGCTGTTCATCGCGAGCCACGGCCGGGACCCGCGCGGTGCTCCGCACATCCCGACAAGCCCGTGAGGCGGTGCCACGCCTGCGTGCGTCCTTCAGGTGAAGGCCCCAGGCTCAGACAGGAGGGAGGCTGCAGTCGGCACCTCGGAGCGGCATCAGCTCAGCACCGCAGCTCCAGGGCCTGGGTGCGCCCTTGTCCCTTGTAGCCCAGGGGCACGTGCCAGGCACCGGCCGCGCGTGACTTCCATCGGGCTGTGCCCTGGCCAGGAAGGAGGCCCTCTGGGGCGGAGCTTGCACAGCGAGGGCCTCTCCCCGCAGCTGCCCTGACCTTCAGGGCTCACACTGGCCCTTATCTGGGACGGGGGGTGGGGAGCGGCGGCCTGCAGCCCCGGCCCAGGGCCCCTCGCTCTCCGGGAGTCCACGCGCTGCCAGAGTTCCGTGCGAGTCCCCGTCCCCTGCACCTCCTTGCAGACGTGCTGGGAGGCGGCGGCGCGGGCGCCCGGTCGGTGCGGTGCCTGTCCACGGAGGGGCGCGCGGGCCTCGGCCACAGGTCTCCCTCGGCGCTGTCCTTCGCACCGCTGCTTGCTGTTGGGCAGCCGGGCAGCTTGGGGTCTCTGGCTGAGCCAGGCGCTGAACGAACACAGGCCCCTGGTGGCCCCGAGCCCAGCGCGGCGTGTCGCCCGGAGGCTAACGCCTGGGCAGCCTCGGGTTTTTCAGCCTGGCCATCGGGCCTCATGGCGGGATGCTCCTCGGGGCGAGGCCCCACGGTCCCACGGTCCCGGGGTGCGCTGGCCGGGGCCTCCAGGCCAGCAGTGCGGGGGGGGCGGGGGCGGGCGGCGTGACAGCTGGTCAGCGGCGAGCGCGCGCCAGCAGCCTGAGCAGCAGTCCCAGCAACACCAGCGGCGTGAGCAGGAGCAGCAGCCCCAGCACCTCGAGGGTCAGCAGCCCCAGCAGCGCCAGGCGGCGGGCACAGGGCCCCCGTTCCCGCAGGGCCCAGAGCCGGGCGGGCAGGCAGGGCGGGCAGCCCCGGCCGCCCACGGGCGCTGCCAGAAAGCGCAGCTGGTAGCGGCGCTCCAGGGCAGCCCAGGGCCCGGGACCGCGGGCGAGGGGCGCGGGGGGCACGGGGCTGGGGGGCCGCGGGGGGCCGTCGGCCTGCAGCAGCTCCTCCTGCAGCCGGCAGATCTCCCACTCGAGCACGGGTGTCTTCTGGCGGCACAGTGGGCAGCGCGCCCGGCCCAGGTCGGCGCTGGGGGCCGTGCCCAGCAGCTGCTGCAGGCAGCCCGCGCACAGGCTGTGGCCACAGTTGAGCAGGGCCAGGCGGCGCCCCCCCGCCCCGTAGGGCTCTGTGCAGATGGGGCACTCCTCCGCTGCCTCTGCCTCTGCCTCCGCGTCCTCTCCCCACCCCGGGCGCCCAGCCCCGGGGCGGGCTGTGGCTGTGGCCCCCAGCAGGGGCACACTGTCCGGCCCCCGGGCACCCTGGGGGCTCCCAGGGGCCTGGCTGCCCAGCGTTTCCTCGGCCGGCACTCGGTCCAGTGGGTGCAGGAGCTCAGGGCCCAGCAGGGCTGGGGGCGGACCAGGGAGCCCAGAACTGAGGCCAGCGGGGCCCAGAGCAGGTGCCCCGAGGCAGGGGTCTGGGCGGGTGGGGCAGGACCCCAGGGCGGCAATGGGGTGGGGGCTGGGAAGGTCACTGGTCCTCTGGGCTGGGGCAGGGTCTGGCACTGACCTTGCAGGAGCCACCGCCTGTCGGGGCTCCTCCTAATGAAGGGAAACGTCTCGGGGCCTCAGGGCCTGCGCCAGCTCCGGCCACTCCTGGCCCACACCTGCTGTCCCCACTGGGTCCGCCCAAGCCTGCTGTGGCCACCACCGACCGTGTCAACGACCGGCCTAGGCAAATGGGTCCCAGGCCACTGCAGCCTGGGCAGGCCAGCCAGGCCAGCCAGCCCAACCGCCCCGACAGGAATTCCAAACCGGAGTGGGCGGGGCCGTCCCAGAGCTAAGGACGCTGGCCCCTCCCTCCCTCTCTGGCCCTTGGGCCACACCCCTCCCCCACTGGGCTTCGGCAGTCCCCTTCCCAGCGCCCTTCCCAGCGCCGAGGCCATGGGTGCATCAGCCTCCCCACGCCCTTCCTTCTGGGGTCCTTTGCAGGCTGCCCCCCACCCCCGTCAGAGCCAGGGAAGAGCTTGTACGAGGTAGGCAGACAGCGGGCCCCCACCACGCGAGAACCAGACACCGAAGTGCCTCAGCCATGGTGGCTGAGCAATGGCCGCGGGTCCCCGCCATCCCTGGGCGCTGAAGGCCCACCCCTGCCCGAGGCCCCGGGACCGTACGGGGAAGAACGGGTCAGAAGCAGCCGCCCTGAGCGTGTCATTTATTGCTGAGACTTTCTGGAGCCAGGCAAGGGCGGGAGTGCTGGCCAGGGCCTCCTGGCCATGAACCCTGAGCCCCGAGGGGCCCCGGGGGCACTTGGTGGCTGCTGGGGCAGAGGACGCCCGGGAGCCCGTGGTCACCCAGGCAGAGGAGGGGTGCTGGGCTCTGCCGGGGCCCGCACCCCGACTCCTGCACTGTCTGGGCGTGGGCGGCTGGGAGAGCTCCCCGATGCCCATCAGGCTGCCGGCGCCTTCCTGGGTCCCCGCCCCGAGTGGGACCCACGTTGGGGCCCGGGGGAAGGCCAGCTGGAGCCGGGGACCAGGGCGGCAGTGGGGTGGGGCTGAGCGTGGACCCCAGGTGGCGTGCAGCTGAGCAGCGGGGCCGGCCGTCCTCCCACGGGGGCCCGACGGCGCTGCAGGTGGAGCGGCGGCGGCTGGCGGCTCTTCAGGCCCACGTCTCGGTCTGGAAGCGCAGCGTGCGCTGCAGCCGGGCCAGGTAGGCGGCCGCCTCGGGGCCCGAGAGCCCGCCCTCCGCCTGGAAGATGGACGTCAGGGCTTCGGACACGTCGGCCGGCATGTGCTTGGCGTTGCTGCAGGGGCGGGCCAGACAGGGCTCAGCCAGAGGGCAGAGGGAGCCCCCGAGGGCTGGTGCCGCCCCTCGCTGCCCCGGCCCAGGCTCACCCTGCCAGGTAGAAGCTGGCGCCCCGGCGGTCCAGGAGCTCCCACACCAGCGGCCCGCGCTCACGGAGCCGGTGCTGCACGTACACCTTCCGCTCCTGCGGGGGGGGCCGGGTCAGTCTGCGCCCCCGGCCCCCGCCCCGGCCCCCCGCACACACGCACCTGCTCCCGGGAGAAGGCTGTGACGAGGGTCAGGGAGCCCTTCTCCTCCAGCTCCGCCCACTCGGCCTCCCAGTAGAAATCCTGTTCCCGCTGGCGGCAGCCGAAGAACAAGGTGTTCCCTGGGGAGGCGCAGGGGTCTCGAGCCTGGACGTGCTCGCAGGCTCCGCCCCCGCCCTCCCGTGCCCCCTGTTCACTCACCCACCTGACCCTGGGCCACCCGCTCCTGGATGGCTGCGTGGAACGGGGCCACGCCAGTGCCAGGCCCCACCATGATCACAGGTGTGTCTGGCGTCTGCGGGAAAGTCAGGGCCCCAGGCCGCACCCACAGCGGCACCTGGGCAGGGCCTGTGGCAGGAGGGGGCGGTGTGAGGAGGCCTGGAGGACCCGGGCCCCCGGCCGCCCCCGGCTGGCCCTCCAGAGAGCAGGGCTCACCTTGCCCAGGGTCCAGAGATGCCAGCCAGGAGGAGCAGAGGCCCCGGCGGGGCTCCTTGAGGCGAGTCTGGTACTGCACCACGGCCACGAGGATCTGCAGCCTCGCGGGGCGGGCCTGGGGGACAGACAGTGGGCGCCTGCCGCCACGAGGACCAGCAGCCTCGCAGGGTGGGCGCGGCGGAAGGACGGTGGGTGCACCCGGCCCCCGTGGACCCTCACCAGCAGAGAAGAGGCGATGGAGAAGGCGCGCGGCCGGATCGGGGGGATGAGGTCCAGCAGGTAGTCCGGGGGCACGGCCGCTGCCGTGTGTGGGAAGTCACACAGCACCTGCGCAGACAGTCTTGGTGGGGCCACGGCCGGGAGGGCCCCCGGGGCTCTGCCGGGGCCGCCGCCGCCTCCCAGTCCCCACCTCTAGGGCAGTCCTGCGGGGCCGGCTGCAGTACTCGTGCAGGGCCTCCTGGCCCTCCGCAGAGCTGAGCTCCAGCAGCTTCTCCCGCTCCAGCTTGTGGGGCGAGAGGCAGGCCAGGAGCTCGAAGAAGGAGCGTCGCGGCACGCTGGCGATGTCCAGGTACTTGGACACGAGGTGCCGCACGGAGCAGGGCTGGGGCAGCCGCCCAGGGCAGGGGACATCTGCGCAGGGAGTAGGAGACGGTAGGGAGACGGTGGGGAGCTGGGGACTTGGGGGGCACGGGGTGCGAGGGTGGGGCGAGGTCTGAAGCTCACCTGCTTCCCGGGGCTGCAGCGTGAAGTACTGGTCAGGGTCCAGGCCCAGCGCCTGGCAGAAGCGCTGGACGTGCCCGACCGTGTTCTCGGGCTGGATCAGCACCACGTCGCCGGCCACAAAGCTGGATGGGAAAGCCCCGGCGGGCGTGGAAGGACACTGGGCTCAGGCCACCGCAGGGGAGGGAAGCCAGTGTCCAGGGAAGGCTGGGGCCAGCGGACCCAGGTGTCCCCCAGCAGCCCGGCCTGTGCTCCGCCCTGCTGAGCGCCTACTCTGGTTTTCTGAGCGCCTACTCTGGTTTTGGGGGCGGCCCCCGCACACCGACCATGGCCCGCGGCCACGAGTGCGCCCCCGCAGGCCCCCGGGGATGGCCTGCTGGCTGCCTCAGGCCGTTCTCACCTGATCCCGGAGCCCGTGATGTCGAACTCGATGAGACGAACGTCCTGGAAGTGTGAGGGGCCCGTGACCCTCTGGTTGGCGACCATGGGGGCCAGGAAGGGCTGCAGCTCTGAGGGGGGACTCGGAGGGTCCGTCCCGGCCCTGGGTACCTCCGCAGGGCACACCCTGGGGGCCTCCTGAAGGAACTGCAGGGTGAACGTGGACGGCAAACTGTGGAGAGGGCGTGGGCCCATCAGACCGGCTGCGGGCAGGGGGCCCGGCAGGGCCCAGCGATCGGGCTACTCCGCTGCACCCGTGGGTGCTGACTGACAGGGCCATACTCACGGGACTCCGGGGGGGATCACGCCGAGGTGGAGGGGCACGGGGTGCAGCCCCAGCACCTTCTCCCACAGGTCACGCAGCCAGGGGTCGACGGCGGCATCGGGCCTGCAGAGGGCACAGGCGCTGGCTGGAGGGGCCCCGCCCACGGCCGGCCCGCGGGCGCCCCGCCCCCACTCACCCCAGCTCGTGCTGGTCGTCGCCCAGGCACACGGGCAGGAGGGCGGCGCCCCCGAGCTGCAGCAGCCGTCGGTGCAGCTTCTTGGCCACGAAATTGAACCTGTGCAGAGGGAGAGGGCCGTGGACGCTGGGCTGCGGGGAGGGGCAGCAGCCCGCTGGCCACGCAGGTCGGAGGGCAGGCCTGTGCTAGACACGCAATCCCGGGCGCCTGGAGTGCGGGGTGGGGGGGCCGCCCTGTCTCCCAGGGGGAGTGTCCGGGGGCCACAGTCAGTGCTGGAGGCCCCACCACCAGCGGGCGCGCACACTGGCGCTACACACAGAACCAGCCCCCGCGACCAGGCTCAGCCCGCGCCAGCTTGTCTTCTCCAGCGTGGACACGGGCCTCCTCCACCACGTCCAGCCCGACACGCGTTGGAGCCCCGGCGCCCCGTCCGCCCGTGCTGGGCCGTGAGGGCCCCCGCGTCCCGTGACCCGGCGCCATGGGACTCACCTGGGAAACCACCCAGTAGCGCTCCCCTGTGCTTAGGATAGAGACGTGTCGTGGGGACACCGAAAGGAAAACCAGAGGTGGCGGCGGCGCACACCAGGGGCCAGTGCGGAGGCCGCAGGTGGCCCCCCGGGGCTGGGGCTCTTTCGTACCCATCGCCTGTTCCCCCCGCACTGTCCACGGAGCCGTCCGAGAGAAGCCAGAGGGCTCACGCGAGGCACTTTTACAAAAGCGGGGGTGGAGCCAGGCAGGCCCGGGCCGCCTGCAGCCACACGTGAACACGCGCGCTCACTGCCGTCAGGCCCTGCCCCGCCTCGGAGGCCGCCTGGGGGTGGCCGTGCCCCTGTGGGTCCCCAGGCCGGCCGGGGGCTCCCGCGTTGCGCCCTGCCCAGCCTTCAAGACCAGGGTCGGCGCCCGCGGGGGAGCACCTGTGGGGCGGGGACACCCGGCCGGGGCCGCGGCCCAGGGCCTGGTGGGGGCGCTGCAGGCTGGGTCACCTGTCCCACGGCACTCGCGCTCAACCCTGAGGACAGTCCGCTGGCCAGCAGCCTGGCCTGCCCCGACTCACTTGGCGTAAGAGGAGTCCCCAAGGCCCAGGACAGCGAAGTCCATCTGGCAGAGAGAGGTCGACGGCAGGTTCTTGCGGAAGATGAACCTCCAGAAGCTCTACGGCCAGAGGACACAGAGTTCACAGCCCTGCTCGGGGCCCCGCTCCCCACCCCTGAAGAGCTGCCGCCAAAACGGGACAGCCTTCTCTTCTACCACAATGGCAGGGGCGGAAGAGGCAGCAAATCGTGAAACGCAGCCCCAGAGCCACCCCCTAGCGTGGGGGGCTCCCCCCTGCCGCGGGCAGGGGCCCCTGGGGCTTCTCCGGGGCGCAGGCGCTCGCGGGGTGGGCACTGCGCCCCCCCAGGTAGAGGGAACCGCCTGCTCCGACCTGGGTCCCCTGGAGGGTGGTCTTCTCTTCGCACCGCGAGTCCCACGGCCCCAGGGGACCCCCCCCCCACAGCCCTCAGTGCGGCGGCTTGGGCCTCTGCAGCAGCTCCAGGCTGCGCCTTTCCCCAGAAAAGCCGAGCCTCCTCTCCCCTCCGCTGGGCCCCAAGCCACGAGGTGGCCGAGAGCCGGCCAAGGACCCACAGGTCACGGGAGGTGCTGCGAAAGCACAGCGTCCTAGCCCCGGGTGCTGGCCCAGGCCCTCCTGCCCCATGTTTCATGCCTTGTCCAACGGAGGCCACCAGGGCGGACTGACCCGGGTCTTGCCCCACCTGCGGCCGCACCCCCCTTCCCAAGGTTTCTGCTGTGCAGACCATCAGCCAGAGCTGAGGACCACGTCTGCTCTGCCTCCGGAGGCCTCGGTTTCCGGGAGCCCCCAGAGAACTCCCCCAGGGCGTCTCCTGAGAGAGGCCCTGGGTGGATGGGCGCTCAGGGTCTAGCCTGCCCTTGTACTCTCCGCACTGACTTGGGACCGGCGGGCACTGAGGCGAAAGTCGCATCACTGAGGGCCTGGGGCTTTGCTGGGAGCTGGTCCCGAGTGGCAGTCACTGCCGAGGAGCTGGAGCCCCACAACCCTGCTGTGTCCCCGGCAGCTGAGACCCCTGAGGGTGTGCTGGTCGGGAGGCCTTTGTGTTTCCGGTGGCCCCTTTGTGGGCACGTGACAGGCTCTCTCAGGCTGAGGACTGTCCTTCCACCCTGGGACAGTCTGTACTTTCCGGGATGACTTCTTCCCTACTTTCCCTCTCTTTCTGAGGCTACTGGAATGACTTCGAGCGTTAGTATCTTCTTTCTTGCTATACTTCCCAGCTTTGCATCTTTTCAGACTTTCCTAGTATTTCAAACAGAGCGCTGGTGGGTCCGCAGCGCGGGCCCTCGGGCGCGGCAGCCTGTCCCTTCGCAGCGGCACCTGGATTGCCTGCCTCTGCCCCTCCCGGCCTGGCTCCCACGGGGCCTTTCCTGCAGCGTCCACTGGCTCTCGGCGGTCCGTCTACACTTCAGAAGCCGATGGAGAAGTGTCTCCCAGCGGGGTCCACGGCCAGGGGCGGCTGCCCGGCTGCCCGCCTGGCTCAGCGTTCTCTGGGCTGCGACGGGGAGGCTGGTGTCTTCCCATTCGGCACTCCGCTGTTCCCGGGCCGGGTCTGCAGCCAGAGCCGTGCCCCTGCCTCTGCGTCCCACGATCTCCAGTCCCTGCTGTGGTGGGGCAGACCCCCGCCCCCGACCACCCCCGGCATGGCCGGCCCTGCGCACTGCCCTCCTTTGCCCACCCTCGTGCCACATGCTCACCATCACCTTTGGGCCTTTGGCACCTGGCTCTGAGCCTGCACCTCAGCCCCGACACCCCAGCCCAGCCCAGCCCAGCGGACGGTCGTCCACCCTCCTGCCTGTGCCCTCTCCACCCCCCACCGCCACCTCCGGCCTTGGATCCCCTCTGACCTGCCTTCTCTCCTGTGCGAGGAGACCCTGTGCTGGGGTCCTAACCTCTGGGTCTCCCACATCATCCCCGCTCCAGCCCTGGGCCTCAGTCTTTGCCACCAGCAGAGAAGCTGCCTTGAGTCTCTCCCATCTCGTAAATACCTTCCCTGTAGCCCCACGGCCCATTCACAGCCAGGAGCCTTTCCGAGTTCTTCCATGTGGACCCCCCCGCAATCAGCCGCCCGTGGCCCTGTCACCCAGCTTCTCTCCCCAGGAGCCTCGGAAACCACCCCCCCCAGGTCGCCAGTCCCTTCGCCAATGGAGCCCACCGCGGCCGCCAGGCCTCGTCCCACCGTTGCGCAGCCTTGTGTGGGGAGGCCTTCCTCTCGGAGCAGCCTCCCCCCGCCCCGCCCTTGAGCACGAGCAGCTGCGTCCCCCTCCTTGCGGCTGGGGCCGCCTTCCTGCCCCTCACAGCCTGTCCTGGGGGAGGGAGGTGCTCCTTCCTCGGGCTTCCCATTTTCGCCTAAGGCCGCCCCCCCTGCCGCCCCCAGGATCCCTGCTGGAGCTCCAGACCTGCCTCGCATCTCCACCTGGGCGGCTCCCAGGCCCTGGGCCCTCGCGAGCCTCCTCCTGCGGGAGCAGCCGCCACCCGTCCTGGTCCCGCGGCTGAACCTGCCTCTGTCCCACCTTCCCTCCGGTCTGAGACCCACCAGATTCCGCGCCCCGGCAGCGCTCTGGCTCTCCCACCGGCCAGCGGCGGCTGTGCCGGAGCATGAACGTGACGGCCTCCCCGTGCCGGCTGGGCTCCTCGGACGGGGCCTCGCCTCCCGGTCCCCTCCTCTCCTCCCCCGACACGCTCCTTGGCTCGGTCCTCCTGAGCTGCTTTCCGCTCTTCCCGAGGCGGCGCTGTCCTCCTCCTTGGCACAGGCTGCCACACGCACCCTTCAGGGCCCGGCCTACGCCCTTTCTTCCGAGGGCTGTCCCTGAGCCCCCGGTGGGGCTCGAGAGCCCTGTGACGCTCCCAGCGCGCCTGGCCCTCTCCCCAGCAGCGTGCGTGTGCTGGCACTGTGCCTGCCTGTTAAGCCTGTCGCCTCTCCTTTGTCGTTGGCTCCCTGAGGGTAGAGATGTGGCTCCTGTCTTCGTAGCACTGGACTCGCAGCCCTGTATCGTTTGAAATGTAATGTGTGCCCCCAACATGGTCACAGAATTGAAGAATGCCCCCTGAAGGTTAAACAGTTTTGATACACACGTAAGATCCAGACCAGGTTCATACAGAGCCTTGGAAAAATAGGAAAGTTAAAGTGGCGACCTGTGAAGAGTTTATCAGGGAGGATAACCAGAGCCCCCGGCTCCACCTGAAAACACCCTCTCGAATCCATGGCTGCTGTGCGCCCCTGGAAAAGGACATGTGTTCACTGTGCCTCTCAGACCCTCCAGGCAATGAAAACGGGGCCAGCGGCAAGGGCTGGGGTCTGAGCTCCTGAGCACACGGCGCCACGCAGGTCCGCCTTACCTTCATGTTGTCAGGAGGGTCTCCTTGGCCTGTCGTTGCACAAACAAATATCACCAGGGGCTCATTAATCAGGTTCACCTCAACAAAAAGACACAGGTGTAAGACCGCAGGCTGTAAGGACCAGGCATCCGTCCCGCGGCCTGGCCCCTGTCGTTCGCTCAGGGGGTCAGGACGACGGGACTCGGCGAGCCCCGCGAGCTCCGGCCTCCCTCCTCGCGCTCCGCCTCCCCGCCCCCTGCTCCGGATGCTAGGGCGAGCTGCTGTTCCCCCGCGTTCCCGTCCCCTCCGTCCCCTGTCAAGGACGGGTCCACTCTCAGACAAAGCGCGGCGCCCTGGGGTCGTGGGGGCTGGGGGCCGGCGCCCCGGGCACGCTCAGTCTCCCCGCCGGGGTCCAGGGAGCCCTCACCACCGGGTAGGAGTCCAGCGCCTGCACCCGGCACTCGAGCCGCCGGCGCCGGGCCTCGCGGCCCAGCCTCTCCGACACATCCTGGGCCGTGCCCGTCTGGCTGCCGAACAGCACCAGAAGCCGTGGGCTCGGCATTGGGGCCTCAGCGCGCCCCGGAGCGCCTCGCACCCAGGGGCCGGACCTGGCGGCCAGGACCGGCTCTGACTTCCGACTTGCGGCGTCGGCCGGAAGTGACGTCCTCAGGCTGCGCCCGGCGGGGCATGGCGTCCGAGCGGGGCGGGCGTCCTTCGGTGGCCAGTGCTGGGTCCCGGGCCGGGGTCGGGGGATCGGCGGCGCGCCGGGACCGAGGGCCGGGGCAGGCGGGGCCGCTCGTCGCCTCTCGTTCGTCGCGGCAGGCGCCGGCGAGGCCCGCGGGGAAAGGAGGCGCGGCCCGGCGGGTGGGGCGCTCGGCTGGGCCCGGGCCAGCGCTCAGCCGGCGCGATGCTCTTCTCGCTCCGGGAGCTGGTGCAATGGCTGGGCTTCGCCACCTTCGAGATCTTTGTGCACCTGCTGGCCCTGTTGGTGTTCTCCGTGCTGCTGGCACTGCGTGTGGACGGCCTGGCCCCCGGCCTCTCCTGGTGGAACGTGTTCGTGCCCTTCTTCGCCGCTGACGGGCTCAGCACCTATTTCACCACCATCGTGTCGGTGCGTCTCTTCCAGGACGGAGAGAAGCGGCTGGCCGTGCTCCGCCTCTTCTGGATCCTCACGGTTCTTAGCCTCAAGTTTGTTTTCGAAATGTTGTTGTGCCAGAAGCTGGTGGAGCAGACTCGGGAGCTCTGGTTCGGCCTCATCACGTCTCCAGTCTTCATTCTCCTGCAGTTGCTCATGATCCGCGCCTGCCGGGTCAACTAGCCTCGCAGAGGGGCAGGAGAGGGAGCTCTCCATAGCGAGAATGCTGGACCCCAAGCTGAGGACCGCCCCTCACCCCGGAAGTCTGAGGACCCAGTCTTCTGCCACACCAGGGGAGAAGTCTGGGTCTGAAAGCAACGCCAGCCTGTGCCCTGCAGAGTGCTCAGTTTTCTATATGCCAGTCATGCCTGAAACTGTTTTTTCAGCAGAGATGAAAGGAGCAGTCATGATCCTTAAAATGTATTTCCTGTTATTTTATGCTTCGAATAGCTAATCCTGAATTGAAATCTCGAGACAGTCCCCAGGCCAGACAGTCCTGAACTCCTCTGAGAGTTGGAAATTGCACATAAGTAAAATGTCCTAATGGGCTCTGAGCACTTTCATGGATCCTGGGAAAGGACCCTTGTGCAAAGGCTGCAAAGCCAGCCAGCATTGCTGACCTAAGAGCTCACTGTCCCATTCACCCAGGCAAGACGTCCTTAGACATTTGGGCTCTAAAAAGTATAAACCAGCTTGCATCCCTTCCCCTGTGCACTGGGGAAAGGATGGCCCTTCCTTCATTCCAGCCAAGGCAGACAGGAATGTGTTGAGTAAGCATGATCAGGACCCTGCCTGGAGATCTGTCACCTGAGAAAAGAACTTTGCTTTTAAAGGTTCTGCTCGGCTTCCTGTCCCAGCAGATTGCAACGTCACGACGTTTCCACCACCTTGTGGCCGGCACCCTTAGCGCACCTGAGACTGAGGCCTCCCTAAAGGGCCAGAGAGAGGGACGGGTGCTCTGATGCTCACAGGCGTTGAGACCTGCACGTGGGAAGTTCGTGAATGGTCTCAGCCCACATTTATTGGCCTGAGGTCTTTGGTTTAATACCAGTCAGGTGCCAAATGAGAACACTTGCTGAGATACAAATAAAATAAGAGAATGTTTTGCTGAAATGCACAGTGGTTGCCTGACCCATTGGGAGTGAAATCAAGTGAGTGCTGAGACGCTCCCTGCTGTGTGGCGTGGCAGGTTACAGAGCTGAGTTTGGGGGCGGGGGGCTGGAACCTGCTAGAGCCTCGTGGGTGGGTGGGGCAGGTTTCCCACGGAGAATTCCTACTTCCTGCCTCAGGGGCTGATGTGAAGACATGAGGTGGGCCCCTGTTGAGGTCCTACCAAGAAGTTTGTGTGACATCAGAGCCTCGGTGTCATGCCAGCGTGTGGTCTTTGTAGACCTTGCTGACGCTCTGTAGAGCAGGGGTCAGCAAGTTATGGCCTGAGGCCTGTTTTTGTACCCATCGCTCTTAAAGGGTTGTGAAAACAGGAAAGAATATTTGACAGAGAGCGAATGTGGCTGCAGCGTGCGGGGCCTCTCCGTCTCGGCACTGCTGGGTCCGGTCGTTCTTTGGTGGGGGGCGGCCCTCCTGAGCATTGCAGAATGTTTAGCTGCATCCCTGGCCTTCGCTCCCTCGATGCGAGTCACATCTCCGGTTTGTGACACCCAGAAGTGTGTCCAGATAGCGCCAAGTCTCCTGGAAGAAAAACTGTTCCTGGGGAGCAGTGTGGGCTAAAGTGCTTACTGTCTGGGCCTTCACAGAACGGGTCTGTGGACCCGTGCTCTGGCGCATCAGCTCTGTGACCCTATGTTGAGGACGTATGCTGTGCCGCTTGAATTGGAGACTGGTCTGGTTTGTCCCACAGCTGCAAAAGTCTCCTACCTGGGAGTGGCATAGCTTGTGCCGAAAGCCAGATACAAGCTGAACATTTGGAGTGGGTTTCCTTTGGATGCTGTTTTTAGGGTGCATTTTTGTCGTTCCCGTTGTGTTCCGGGAGTCAGCGTTAGGGAGTCCTGTTGCTGTAGATGTGACGAACGTAAGAAGGTTTAGCTTTTTGGAAAGTTGATTTACCGCCATGGCATCCAGATGGTGAGAAGGGCACCTCGCCTTGAGGCCTGCGCTGGGTGCCCTGGGTGCCCCTCCCCTAAAAGAGGAGAGGTGCAGGAGGCAGCAGTGGCATTCCTGAGGCACGGCTGACTGCAGGGCAGGTTATGGAAGGCAGGCGACACCTCTGTGTCACTGCTCCCCGGTTTCCCCTTCTCCCCTTGGCTCCAGCGGACCTAAAAGAATGTGGGCACTGGGCAGCCCTCCAAGGGCCCTCATGGCTCTTGTGCAGGGAGGCTGTGTCCTCAGGCTCAGTGGGACCCCTGCCAGCCTTGGGATGGGGGAAGTTCAACAGTAGCTTGGGGAACACACGGCCTGGCTTTTGCCGTTCTTCCTGCGTGAGAGAGCTGTGGGCCTGCTTGTTTGTGGAGAGGGAGCCCCCTTTCCACTGTGCCTCCTCACAGCTTCCGTACTCCACCCCACGCTCTGTGGGCCCTGGATGGCTAAGTGTGGGGTTCGCCTGACCCACTCGTCTGAGCAGCACAATCACTTCTGGGGGCCGGCAAAGCCAGGGATTCCTGAGAAACTGATTCCTCAGCACTGGCGGGGCTCCAGCATTGGCATGTCTGCTAAGTCCCGCAGGGGACAGCGGACCGCAGGTGGGCAACCCATGGACCAGGAGGGACCTGGACCGGGAGGCGCGAGGCTGGTGTGCAGCCTGGGCGTCGCCCACGGGAGCGGGGATAGCCTTCCGGTCCTGGACAGGACCTTCCTCCACTGCGCTCTCAGCGTGGGGAACAGGAGAGCTGGGTGCTGGCACCAAGAAGAAGGACCTGGCCAGGCCAAGGTCACCCGCGACGCGGAACGCAGGGGTCGGTCTCCGGTCGCCCGCCAGGGCCCGCCCCCGCAAGGCTCCGTGCCTCCGCCCCGGGAACCGAGGCGAGGCCCAGAGGCGGAAGTGAGGGCCGCCAATGAGCCGCCCGAGGTGTCGGGGGCGTGTTCAAGGGGGCCTTCCCCAATGGAGGTCGGCTCCGCTGACGGACACTGTCCAATGAGATCCTCTGGAAGGCGGGGTCAGGGAGGGCATTCTCCAATCAACTAGGTCGGCCATCCTCTCCTGCTATAGGTGGGGCTGCCGGGCGCTGGGCGGGTCCGAGCGGTCCTCCCCCAATGGGCGGTGGCCGCGGGGGGGCGTGGCTGCGGCGCAAAGCCCCGAGGCGGGCGGCGGCCGCAGTTCCCAGCGCGCGCTGGCTCCGGCGGCCGCTCCTTACCATGGCTGGCCTGGGGCGGCCGGGCCCGGGGCCTCGCGCGGCGATGCCCGCCTGGAAGCGGGAGATCCTGGAGCGGAAGCGGGCCAAGCTGGCGGCCCTGAGCGGAGGCGCGGCGCCCGGGGCTGGGTCGGACGCGGGGGGACCCGCAGAACCGGCGGACGAGCGGCTCGTGCTGGCCGATAGCCTGGGCCCACTGCGCGAGAACCCGTTCATGCGGCTAGAGTCGGAGCGGCGGCTCGGGGCGCGGCGCGGTGGGGGCGCGGGCGCGGCGGGGGCGCGGCCGGTGCAGCAGCTGCTGGAGCTGTACAGCCGCGTGCCTGGCGTGCGGACCATCCGCGCCGACAACATTCTCATCATCGAGTCAGCGCCCGGATTCCTGCCCGCCACCCCCGACCCCGACGCCGGCCCAGCCACCCGCATCTGCGCCGCCGAGGTGCTGGTATATGAGGCGCCGGCACCGCCCGGCCGCGTCAGCCGTCTGCTCCAGAAGTTTGACCCACCGGCCGCGCCTCGCTGTCGTGGAAGCCCGGAGCGCAGTCGTCCCCTGCCGCCGCCGCCGCCGCCGCCTCCGCCGCCCCCGCCACCCGCCCCTTGCCCGACTGGCCCGCGGGTGGGCGAGCGCGTCGCCTGCTTCGAGCCCAAGCGCCGCGGTGCAGGCCCTGGGGCCCGACGCAGCGACTTCCTGCAGAAGACCAGCAGCAACTCCTTCACCGTCCATCCCCGCGGCCTGCACCGCGGTCCGGGCTCTCGCCCGCTCCCCAACGGGCCCGCATCCCCGGAGCCCCGGGCCGGAGCTGCCAACGGCATTGCGGGCTCTGCGTTTGGGCCGAGCGAGGGCAAGCCAAAGGTGGAGTCGGGGCAGTCCCCCACCCACCCGCCCCCTAGTCCCGGGACCTCCAGTGCCACTCCAGCTGCGCCCCCGGCCTTGCCCATGCCCAGCCATGCCAGTGCCACTCCAAGCCAGCGCCAGTGGGTCTCCTCAGCCACCAGCGCCAACGACTCCTTCGAGATACGGCCGGCCCCCAAGCCAGATATGGACACAATTCCCGCCGGGGACCTGCAGGCCCGGGCCCTGGCCAGCCTCCGCGTGAACTCCCGAAACTCCTTCATGTTCATCCCCAAGCGCAAGGCCTCCGGGGCCCCTCCTCCCCAGGGGAGGCAGTCTGTGAGGCCACCGGAGGGAGAGGCTGTCTGGGCTTCCCAGGGCCCGCAGAGTGGAGCCCAGCTGGTGCCTGGAGCGGATAGGGCGCCTGTCAGTGGGAGGAGTCCCTTGGGGGTCCAGGAGGGGGCCTGCCCAAGGCCAGCCACGGCCCCAGTGGACCGGGCTGTCAGGTGGCAGAGGCCATCCTCACCACCGCCTCCCCCCTCCCTTCCGGCTGCCGCCGAAGCTGAGCCTTCCCAGGGCTTCGGGGTTTCCGGCCTGGCCAAGATTGGTGGGGAGCCTGGTAGACCAGGGCTGCCTGTCACCTTCATCGATGAGGTGGACTCAGAGGATGACGTCCCCCAAGAAGCCAAATCGACCTGCCTGGGGGCCGGTGCGTCTCCCCAGCACCACCCGTCAGAGCTCCTGCACCGCGGCGGCAGCACCTTCACAGTGGTGCCCAAGAGGAAGCCAGGGACCCCGCAGGCCAACGGGGAGCCCGGGCCACAGGAGGCCGAGGAGGTTGAGGCGGGCGGCCCCTCAGAGCCTCCACCTGCCCTGGGGGCCGCACCGAAGAAGCGCTACCCCACCGTGCATGAGATCGAGGTGATTGGCGGCTACCTGGCCCTGCAGAAGTCCTGCCTCACCAAGGCCGGCTCCTCCAGAAAGAAGGTCAGTGGTGGGGGCGGGGTCTCCGGCCAGGAGGTGAGGAGGTAGTGGGTCTCTTGCACCCTGTTCCTGGGCACTCGGCCGGGTGGGGGGCTTTCTCTGGGGACCGGAGGAGAGCTGGGGCAGGGGCCCCTGCGAGCCCCAGGAGGGCCTGACCTGGGGAAGCCCTGCCCTGAGCCCCCAGGCTTTGTCTGGCAGTGGCTGGGCGGGCCTGTGTCGCCGAAGGTCCAGCTGGGAGAAAAGTTCGGGCCCGGTGGCTCCACCTGGCCACCAGGTGGGAGAGGGGTAGCCCTGGCAGGACTTCCCGCACTCCTTGGCTGTTCAGGTGGCAGGCGCCAGGACCGGAGCGGGCAGGGGCAGCCTAGGGGCAGAGCCTGGGGCCATTGGGAGGGGCGCCCAGCTCCCCAGAGGCGCGCTGGCCTGGAGCACAGCAGGGCCTGGGCCCGCGAGAGCTTCCCGAACCCCCTGTGTGTGCCAGGCTCGGTCTGCGTCCAGGGGGTGATGCTGAAGGAGACGAGGACGCCTCCCCGCCACCCCGGTGAGAGGGAGGGGCCCAGGCACAGGGCTGGAAGCCTCACTCCCCGCGGCCCTGCCTTGCTGGGTGACCTAGAACCCGCTGGGCACAAGGGAGCCTTCCTCAGATTCTTCCTGGTCATTTTATCACCTGTGTCTGGCTCCGGGGCAAATTCCAAGGACAGCGCCCCGTGACGGACTAGCAGGCAGGAAACAGATGCTCTTCCCTAGAACTGGCGGAGGTGGCGTGGGCGGGCCTCTCTTCTGGCTGCTGGTGTCTAGGGCGGGCCCGTAACTCTGCCCCAGCCTCAGTCGTCCGGGGGGTGGTGACAGGCCTGCCAGACTTGCCCCCTTCCTGCTGTCTGCAGCCTCAGGCAGCCTCAGCTTGGCCTTGGCACTGTGTCTCCCCCTCCCCCGCCCCCGTGTGAGGGCACCCGTGCCCCTGCCAGCTCGCACTGCTGGGTCAGGCGCCACCCCTGGCTCCCCAAGTGCCCCCTGCCTAGCTTGGCGTTGTCTTTGGGGCCACGGGCCGTGGCTCTCCCCCTGGTCCCTGCCCTTCCCCTCCCAGGCATGGCCCACCCAGTAGCCTTGGCCGCCAGCCCCATCCCATGCTAGCAACCCCCTTGTGTGCCCCTCCCTCTCCTGCTTTCTGACCCTTGGCCCGAGCTGCCCCAGGAGAACTGGAGGTGATAACAGCTTCCTGGTCTGTAGACCAGGAGGGCGAGGTCATGGAGCTCATGGGGTGGCTTCCGTCTCTACACCCGCTCTGCGAACCTGGCTGCCCTTCCGGTGGGAGCCTGGCTTCTTCCTGGGACTGGAGGGCGGCAGCCTAGGGCATCCGGCCCCCAGCCAGGTGCAGAGCCGAGGGGTCGCGTGTGGGTGCTTGGTGTGAGGAGGGCGGGGCGGGGGCCCTGGGGACAGCAGGGCGGGGAGCGGGGAGCCGGCTGGGGCTTGGCGTGGAGAGGGGCTCCCTCAGCTCGGCCCCATCCCCACGCCAGCCTGAGGGGGCTGCAGGTCCAGATGGATGTTGCCTGGCGTGGCCAAGTGGCCCAGCCAGGGCCCTGCGTTGCCCGAGCAGCACAACCTGCTGGCAGTGACTTCCTGCTTGAGCACGCACCGGCTGCCCTGCCCCGGGAGGGCCTGGCGTCAGGCGGGATGGGGGGTGGGGCAGCCCGGCCCTGTGGAGTGGCCTGCCCATCTTGGGCTGCCCGTGTCCCTCTGTCTGCGGCTCGGGGCCCTCCTCCCGCCGCCCTTCCCCGGGTCCCGGGCCTCGACCCCACCCGGACCGCCGCTGCTGGCCTGTGGCTGGGTCACTGCCCTCTCCCCGCTTCCTGTGCCAGCGACGTGGTGGCCTGTGGGGGCCAGCAGGACCTCGGGGCTGGCTGCTCACTTTGACCCTGGTGTGACCCACTGACCCAGGGCGGCGGAGGGAGGTGGAGGGGGTGGGACCCCGCAGGCGGGCTCCCTGGGCCGTGCCTCACTGGAGGGTGCTGCTGCCCTGCCCCGGGCGGAGGGGCGCCTGCCCTGCCCGTGCACCTGGGAGGCCTGCCTGGCGGCACACGTCCCCACTTAGTTATCTCTCTGCAGAATCACAGATGCTCTATCGCCGTCTCCCTGTGCGGCCGGGCTGGGCTGCCTGCTGCTGGGCGAAGCGGCCCTGCTCCCTCTCCCCCGGCCCGGCCCCCAGGCCGTCGCCGGGTGGGGCGGCTCCTGGGCGCTCAGCGCCTGCCTCCCCTGGGGCTGGCGCTGTGGGCCTCCCCTTTGTGAGGGGCCGCCCGGCCAGGCTCCTTCCTGTCTGGCGACTCCTTTCCCTCCTCTTTGCTCCCCTCGCCTCCTTCCCTGCTGGTCCGCTGCCCGGCCCAAGTGTGCCAGCGTCCCCAGGGCTTGCTCCGCAACACTCCGGCCCTTGCTTCGCCCTCGGTGACCACCACCCAGCACCCCGACCCGCTGGTGTGGCCTTGGCCCTCAGCCTCACGCCGGTCCTCAGACTCGGGGTGCCGCCCGCTCCCTGCCTGTGTGGAGCCTGCACCCCCTGCCGGGGCGGGGGAAGGGGCCCGGCTGTTGGGGCCGCATCTGCTGCCGTCTGCCCGCACCCGCTCCCCCCCCCCGACCTTTCCCGCGGGCCCCCCCCCCAGGCAGGGGCCTGGTCTTCCCAGAGCCCAGGCGGCAGGCCCGTGCCCTGCCCTGCCCAGCTGCCCCACCTGCACAGGGTCTTGGCTTGGGGTCCCGCCCCCGGCCGTTTTCAGGACTTAGGTGGGGGCTGCCAGAGCTCGGAACGGGGCCCAGCAGGTGTGTGTGGGGAGCGAGGGGCAGGGCGCTCATCCCAGCAGGGGGTGGTGGGGCCCGGCGGCCCAGCGTCCAGGGTGGCTGTGCGTGGTGGGCGGGGCAGGGGGGACGAAGGACCCCCTGAGAACCAGGAGGCGGGTGAGCCCGGACCCGCCGGCCGGCCGTGCTCCGTGTGGGGGCAGAGGTCCCGGAGGCAGGTGCTCAGCGTGTGCCAGCGCCAGCCCCACGCTCCCCTTCTGCCCGCTGGGCATCTGGAGGGAGCCCCCCAGCAGCAGGCATCCCGGGGCTTCCTGTGACTTGAACACATGTGCCCACGGTGGGGAACCTGGAGGGGAGGTGGGACGTGGCCCAAACCCGGGCCCCCGCTGGGTGCAGACAGGCCAGGGATCACTGCCCTGCCCCCGCCCGGCCAGGCTGTGCCAGGCTCTGTGCCCATGCGCGCCCAGCCCCCTCCGACTCCGCTAGGAGCTGGTCATGTGGACTAACGAGGGCACGCTAATCCACCCGGGCCCTGGCAGTCGGCCCTCCCTGCGTCCTCCGCGGTGGGGGATGGGCTCGGCAGGCTCAGGGTCTTGGGGGCAATGCCATTCCAGCGCCTGGGGGTGGCCGGGAGACCCGTCCACTGTGGGCTTCAGGGCAGGGGAGGCCCCTGGGCCAGCAGCTCTGTCCCGCTTGGGTTCCTCCTGGGGGGCCTGTCCCCAAGTCCCAGAGGGCCCGGCAGTGCCGCCCCCAGGCTGGCCCGCAGCGGGTTGGCGCCTGCAGACTCTGTCGATCGCACCGTGCCCGGCCCCTGCTCCCTCGGCTCCATGGCAGGGCCAGCCGGGTGGGGGGTGGCGCACCTCCCAGGGACAGGAGTGGACGCCTCGCCCTGGCTCGCCTGGCTCGGGTGGCCTGCTCCTGTCTCCGACCCCCTGTGTGCGGGGGCGACTGGTGAGGGGCTCTGGGAGCAGGCCCTGACTTGCCCTGCAGGGTGTCCACGTGAGCCTGGCTGAGCCCAAAAGCCCGCTAGGTGGGCGGGTGGGGCTGCGTGCGGCCCAGGGAAGGGAGAGGGCGGCTCGACTGGAGCGCACGCCCTTGTTGATGGATGCTGGTGGGCCCTGCCTGTGTCCCCTGAGGCCAGGGTCCGGCCCCTTTGCTGCCCCAGGCTGCCAGCCCAGCCCTCCCGTGTCCTGCTGTCCCTGGGCGCCACGACTCTCTGCCTTGGGGCCCCGCTTCTGCCTGCGGCTCCTTCCAGGGGAGGAGGAGGAGGAACATGAGCTGGCTGCCGGTGTCCTGTGCCCGGGAGTTTAATATTTCGAGCTCCAGCGGGGCTGCCTCCATCTGCCGCGGGCGGGCCGAGTATTCATTACCGACTGCCAAGCGTGGCGGAGCCCTGCGAGCCGGCCTGGGGCTTGCGGCCGGGGCACAAAATCCTGGAGCCTGTGGAGCGGGCAGGGTGGACGCAGGCCGGACAGCAGCCCGGGTGGGAGGAGCAGGCTGCTGACCTGCACTGTGTGGCCTCAGACAGGCGCTGACCTGGTCTGTAAAACAGGGTGGCACACACGGGGCCGCTCTCCTGGTGCTGGCATGTGGCAGTCACCTGGCTTCGGTGCCCCATGAGGGTCCGTGGGGCGTGGCCTCAGGTATGCCAGGCCCTTGCCCGGCAGTGGTGGTCCATGCTAAGCTGGGAGGGCAGGCCGTCCAAGGTGCCCGGCACGGACTTGGCTCTGACGAGAGGCCCCAGCCAACAGCGGGAGCCTCTGGGAGGCGGCGTGGCTGGCGCTCTGCTCCTGCGGGCAGAGAGGGCTGCCCTCCGACCCTTGGAGCTGCTTTGGCGGCCTCTGGTGACCCCGGGCGGTGGCTGTGGACGGCCAGGTCCAGCTCTCTGCGGGGTCTGTGGGGTCTGGGTGGAGGGGTCTTCTCTGATGAGAGGCAGCCCCACCTGTCAGAGCCTTTGAGCGCAGACGCCGAGTCCAGCCGCCCTGCCCCGGTCACAGGCCCCTGCTGCAGGCCAGCAGCAGCCCCAGCTGATGTGCCTTCTGCCCCCAGATGAAGATCTCCTTCAACGACAAGAGCCTGCACACCACGTTCGAGTACCCCTCTGAGAGCTCGCTGGTGCAGGAGGCGGAAGCGGAGGCAGAGGGAGAGGCGGGGGCGGAGGAGGAGGAGGAGGAGGAGTCTGACCTGAACGGGGCCGTGGAGAAGCCCTTTGCGCTCTTCCTGCCCCGAGCCAAGTTTGTGAACAGCGTGGTGCCCGAGAGCCCTCGCCTGCCCGACGGCAGCTCGGGTGAGTGCCCCCGCCCGGGTGGGCAGCCCAGGCCATGTGTCTGCGCGCGCATGTGCTCACCCATGCGCCCCTCGGCCCGCAGGCCTTTCCAGCTACACCCCAAAGCACTCCGTGGCCTTCAGCAAGTGGCAGGAGCAGGCGCAGGCACAGGCCCCGGTGGAGGCGGAGCCCCCACAGAAGGAGGTCATGGTGAGCAGGGCCAGGAGGGTGCCTGGGGGCGGGGCGGGGGCGACCCCTGACACCCGGGCGGGCCCCCACTGACGGCCTTCCTGCTCCACAGCTCACCCCTGCCAGCCCTGACGACCTCTCGGACTTCCGCAGCGAGCCAGCCCTCTACTTCTGACCCCAGCCCCTCGGGACGGCCAAGCCCCACGCTCACTCTGCACACGCCCTTCTGCCCTGCCAGGCTGTGACCCCCAGAACTCCCCCTCCCTTCCTGGGGCCTCAGAACCAAGCTGGTGCTGGAGGCCTGCGGCCATTGGCCCCTCGGGTCCTTGTTCTCCCACCGTGGCTTGGGAGCAGGGTCCAGCTGGCTGCCCGGCCCAGGGCCCGTCGGGCGTGTCCGGGTGCACGACGGGCCCAGCTGCCTGTGCTCTGCAGGACCACGAGCCCCCCGGGCTCCCCCATCCCCATGGCTGAGTGTGGCCTGCCTCCCTCGGGGCGAAAGCGAGTCTGTGCTCGCCCCAACAATGGACTCAATAAAACAGCACTGGACAAGGCCGCCTCCCTGCCTGGTCCCCCACCGGAGGGGGTGCAGGGCCACGCTGGGGCTGCTGGTGGAGAGGAGCCCGCCACGGGCGCCCCACCTCAGAGCTGCTTCTCGCTCCCCACAGCCTGCGAGCCCCTCAGCTGCCCCCTCGCCCACCAGAGGGACCCCTCTCCGTGTGTCCGCAGTGTCGGGCCCGCCCTCTCCCACCCGGCTCCCCGGCATGCGCCGTGGGGCGGCATTGCAGCTGTTGGATCTGAAGGGGTTTCCCTGAAGGGCCAAGCACTGGGGGGGGGGAGCGGGGGGACGCAGGGCAGAGCCTTAGGTATCTTGTCTCCCATTCGGCCTAGTTAACTCCCTGACCCATGAGTCTTTGGGCTTCCTGGGGGTGGGGAAACCCAGAGGCTCCCGGGCGGGGACCGGAGGTGCAGGGCCGCGCCCCGCAGCCGCCGCAGATCGGGTTCAGCTGTCCGCGCCCCCGCACCCCGCAGCGGGGGCTGTTCACCACCCAGGCGCCAGTGCTGACCCTGCTGGGGAGGCTGAGCTGGGGGGGGGGGGCGGGCTTTCTGGTCTTTCCCCAGGACTTGGACCCTCTGCCTGTACCTACTTGCCCCCTGGCACACAACTGCAATGGCCCCATAGGGGCCAAGGGGCCAAAGGAGATGGACCCAGGGAGGAGGGCGGGCCCCACGCCCCCTGCAAATCTGGCAGCGGGAGGGTGGGAGGCGTCGACGCTGTCGCTGAGCAGGATCTGGGGGCGCGGAGCTGAGGCACAGCCCTTGCCGGGTGACCGGAGCCCAGGACCAGCAGGCAGGGCCCCTGACCAAGGGTGGGCTGCAGGTGCGGGCCTCAGGTGAAGGGGGCCAGGAACAGAGGGAGGGTGGGCGGCTTGAGTCAAAGCAGGTGCTCAGGGGCCCCTGCCTCGTGTTCGCAGCCCCCTTCTCCGGCCAGGGTGGCACGGGTCTTTAAAAACACAACCTTTATTGACAGTCACAGGCCACTAGGGCGAGCTCGCAGATGACAAAAGGCCCAGGAGACTCCCATGATGCTGAGAGTCTAGAAGAAGCAGGGCTTCCCTGCAGCCCTGGCAGCGGGTGGGCCCCCCCAACCCAGGCCCAAGCAGGGTGGAGCCAGAGCCCATCGCCCCCACTGCCTGCCCTGCGTGAGCACATGGCTAGAACCGCCCCCCCGCAGGCGGGCTGCACCCCAGGCTTTCCTGGTCACCCAGGGCAGCGGAGGCGGGTGGCTGCTGCCATGAGCAGAGCTGCTTTGAAGACAGAGCCGCGGGGACGGGCCTCTGCGTGCCGGGGGCCGTCAGCTGTCCTTGCCCCCGCTGCTCTTCTGCTCTGAGGCAGTGGCCTTCGTCAGGTTCCCCGCTTCCCTCTTCAGGACACTGAGCAGAGTCTGCGAACTCTCCAGGATCTGGGGACAGAGACACATAACGGTTGTCCTGCTCTAAAGTCCCCACCGCCCGGCCTGCCTCAGCTGCCGGGCCAGGGCCAGACCACGGGGCTGTGGGGCAGGAGCAGGTGAGAGGCGGCTTCCCCTTCCGCCCCTGAACCTAGCCTGCAGTCCCTCCTTCACACCCTGGAAGCCAGGTTGGCTCGGGCCCCTGCTGCCACTGCCGCTCACAGTCCCGAACAAGCCCCACCGCACCAGCAGCGGTGCACTCGACAACCTGGGTCCCGCCGGGCCCCATGGGCAGGCCACGCCCTCACCACGAGGGGCCTGGCCGCGCCACAGTCCTGTCACTTCTGCTTGCGAGCACCCCAGGCCAGAACCCGCAGGAACCCGCCTGGCACCCAGGCCCCCGCGCTGCCCTGAGTCCCACCTTGAGGTAGGCGGCCTCGGTCTCCGCGATGGTCCGATCGAACTCGTTTCGGGAGGCGATTTTGCGGGCCAGGTTCTCGTTGACTCGGGCCAGCTTCTCAGTGAGCTGCCGCACCTCGTTCTGCAGCCGCTGCTTCTCGTCTTCTTCCTGCTGGATCTGCTGGCACAGCTCCTCCCGCTTCTGGCACAGCTCCTCAATGCCTGGGGGCGAGAGGCAGGGCCGTGGGCTCGGGCGGCGGGGAGAGCGCCTCCCCCCACCCCGCCGCAGCCCACCGCGTCGTAGGACACGGCGGTGGCGGAGGGCCCAGGTGCCGGCCTGGCCCCTGCCCCGGGGCCAGGCCAGCGTCCTACCTCCCGGGGGTCTCCGAGTTAAAGGCGGCACCGCACAGACCGCCCTGCGCGGGGCCTGGAGGCAGGACGTCCTCAGGCGTTTTTTGGGTTGTTTTTTGTTTTTTGTTTTTTGCTCACTCTACAGACACCCAGCACCTGGTGCGGGTCGCATGGCGGCTGCACGCCGGGAAGGTCCGAACGGCCTCCGCGCCGTCGGACCAGGCCACCCCCGCCCCGACAGGACAACAAACTCCGCCCGGCGCCGCGGGCCAGCTACGGCCTGGGCGGCTAACCCCGCGCCCTCCCCGCCTGCTTTGCGGGCGCGCCGCGCGGCCGCTCACATTTGACCAGCTCGTTGTTGTAGTTCTGCAGCGCCGCGCCCTGCTGGGTCATGGTCGCCTCCGGGGGTCCCCGCCACTACAACCGCCGCTACCGCATCGCCGCCCGCGCGGGCGCACCGCCTCCTAACAGCGCGCCTACCGACTGCGTCACCGTCGCGCGCGCCTGGCTACGTCATCACCGCGCGCGGCGCCCGGAGGCTCTGGGAGCGGGTGGGCGCGGATGGCGGCGGCGGAGGCGGACGGGCCCCCCGGGCCGGCCCAGGAGCTGCTGGTGGCCTGGAACACCGTGAGCACCGGGCTGGTGCCGCCGGCCGCGCTGGGACTGGTGAGGCCCGGGGCCCGGGCGGCGTGCGCGCGGTGTTCCCGGGACCTTGCGCGCTGTCGCAGGGCGTGCGCCCCCGGGTGCCTGTGGCTGCGTGTGTCTCCCGCCCCGAGTTGCCTCTTCTCCCCGGTCCCGCCTCGTTCGGCTGCCCGGAAGCCCTTGCCGCGGAGGAGTGGCGGCGGCGTCTCCGCAGCCTCCCCTCCGCTGTGCCCCTTCCCCACCTGCCCCCAGCTGTCCGCGCCTTCCCACCTCCACGCTGTGTTCACTGCTCCCCGCGGTCTTCTCCCTCCAGGCGTCCTCCCGGACCAGCGGGGCAGTCCCGCCCAAGGAGGAGGAGCTGCGGGCTGCGGTGGAGGTGCTGAGGGCCCACGGAGTGCACTCGGTCCTGGAGGAATGGTTCCTGGAGGTGCTGCAGAACGACCTGCAGGCCAACATCTCCCCCGAGTTCTGGAACGCCGTCTCGCAGCGCGAGAACTGTGCGGACGAGCCCCAGTGCCTCCTGCTGCTCCTGGACGCCTTCGGGCTGCTGGAGAGCCGCCTGGACCCTTACCTGCGGAGCCTGGAGCTCCTGGAGAAATGGACACGCCTGGGCCTGCTGATGGGCACCGGCGCTCAGGGGCTGCGGGACAAGGTCCACACCACGCTGCGGGGCGTCCTGTTCTTTTCCACTCCCAGAACCTTTCAGGAGATGGTCCAGCGCCTCTACGGGCGCTTCTTGCGAGTCTACATGCAGAGTAAGAGGAAAGGAGAAGGGGGCACAGACCCGGAGCTGGAGGGGGACTTAGACAGCCGGTATGCGCGCCGCCGGTACTACCGGCTTCTGCAGAGCCCTCTGTGCGCGGGATGTGGCAGCGACAAGCAGCAGTGCTGGTGCCGCCAGGCCCTGGAGCAGTTCCACCAGCTCAGCCAGGTCCTGTGAGTACCCGCGCGGTGCGGCCCTGCTTGCCCCTGCTCCCCACCCGGCGCGGCTGGCCGGTGCAGGGAGCGGGCGCGCTGGCTGGCCTCTGCTGGCCGTCCTGCGGCCGTGGGCCTGGCAGAGGGAGGGTTCCCAGGGTGCTTGGGCGGTGAGTTGGGCACCTTTTGTCCTCACAGAGGCGTGTCTGTCGCTCACACTAGCTCAGGGTTTCACGCTTGGTTTCTGCTAAGATCCTGCGTGAACCCCCGTTTCCCGCAGTGCTCAGCGGTGCCGTCTGTCGGCTCCCGAGGAAGAGTGACGTTCGTTTTCCTCTGCTGTTGCAAGGGGCGGGCTCGCTGCCTCTTCTCTGTGGCGCCCGTCGGAGGTGGGGGGTGGGGGCCGCTGGCTGGGCAAGCAGGTGCCTTTCCAGCTCTTCGAAGAGGGAAAGATTTCCTCGTCTTTGTTTGGAGAGCCAGATTCTGCTGCGCGGCCTTCCACCCTCTGCGGGCGCTTGGGACAGGTCCGCCCGCGGAGTGAAGCAGCAGCAGTGTGGCTGTTAGGCAGGGTCTGTTGGCTGGTCCGGGGCGGCCCCGCTGCTGGCTGGGGTCAGAGGGCCTGCAGGCTCCTGCTGGGTTCTTTCTGGGTGGAAGCCATGCAGAGGCGCTTTCTCATCTCCCCGCGGGACCTCATGCTGTTGTAGCTGCCGCTTCAGAGCCAGCCGTTCCTGGGGGACGAGGCTTTGACCCCCGAGAGCCCCGCACGCTGCTCACGGGGCGGCTAGCGGTCTGCGCGGGCGGAGGGGCCCGTAGGGGAGCGTGGGCGCCCTGGACGGGAGGGTGGGGCCGGGGCGGGCCCTGGCGCGGGGTGGGTGAGCACGCGGCCGCAGGCTCACGGGCGGGCTCTTCCAGGCACCGGCTCAGCCTGCTGGAGCGAGTCAGCGCCGAGGCTGTGACCGTCACCCTGCACCAGGTGACCCGGGAGAGGATGGAGGACCGCTGCCGGGGCGAGTACGAGCGCTCCTTCCTCCGCGAGTTCCACAAGGTGACGGCGCCTTCTCGGGCCCTGCCCCTGGGGACTAGGGAGTGGGTTGCTGATGAACGGGACCTTCTGGCTTTAGAAGCAGCCAGGGTGCAGGGGTCCGAAGAGCAGACTCGCGGGCGGTGGAGGCTGCCCTGGTGCTGGGGGGAGGCTGGTCCTCAGGGCCCCCTGGGGTGGCCGCAAGGATGAGCCCATGCCGTGTGCAGCAAAGTCTGTGCACGATCGCCCAGCCGGGGATGGTGCCGGGGGCCGCCGTGTCACCGTGAGGGGCCGTGTGGCTGGGCCGTGCTCCGGGACTCTGCTCTGGGCTCCCAGCACCGTGGAGGAGCGGGGACCCCCATGGGGGGCTGTCCAGCCTGCGCCCACTTGCCAGATGTCTTCCCGCCACACCTTGGGACCTGGCTCCCGAGGGTGCGGATCCGCTGGGTCCGTCCCCGCGGCAGGTCTGGAGTGGGGGTGGGCCTGGGGGCCTGGCAGGGGTCGCTGCGCTGTCCCTGGTCGCCCAGTGGCCAGCGTTCCTTGCGGGGTCGGACAGGCTGGGGGAGCGTCTGCGGCCCGCGGCGGGACGTCTTGTAGGCTCGCCTGCTCACGGGCAGAAATGCTCTCGCTGTCCTCTGAGCGGTGGCGCGTGGGGGCCCGTGCGTGGGGGCCCAGGTGTGTCCGTCTGTCCCTTCAGGCGGGGTGAGCCCGGGCTCCGTGCCGTGTCAGGGCCGCTCTTACGACGCGGAAGGAACAGCAGGGTGCGTGGGGGAGGGCCTGGGGTGCCCTCGTGGGCCGTCCCCTGCTGATGCTCCTGTGCGCCCACCCCCCAGAGCGGGCGGCCTTGGGCTGGCCCCCCTCCGTGCCGGGTCAGGCAAGGCCGACCCCCGATGCCTGTGTTCTCCCGGCAGTGGATCGAGCGGGTGGTCGGCTGGCTGGGCAGGGTGTTCCTGCAGGATGGCCCGGCCCGGCCGGCGGCCCCCGAGGCCGGCCCCACGCTGCGGCGCTGGCGCTGCCACGTGCAGAGGTTCTTCTACCGCATCTATGCTGGCCTGCGCATCGAGGAACTCTTCAGCATCGTCCGAGGTCAGCCCCGCCGCCTCCCCGGGGCCCCGCCCTGCGGCGCTCCCCGGTGGGGGGCCCCACACAGGGCAGACACTCCAGCCCCGTGTCCGAACCGGGGCAGGCGGGGGGTGGGGGTGTTAAGACGACGGGATGGTGCTTCGGGGGTCCGCCCTGGCTCCTCTGCCCCGCGGCCCTGCTCCGGCCCTCCCGTGCGCTGCCCGCCGCCCCGCGGGGCGGTCGTGACCAAACACGTGGGCCCTCGGAGGCTGCAGCGACTCGTGGGGCCCGGCGGGTGGTCCTCACTGTAGGCGTGGGCGGGGCCCCTCGCCCACCGGGCCCCGCCCCCACGGTGCGGTGCCTGGGGTTGTGCGCGGGTACGCGGTCCACGTGCACATGGGCGAGCGCGGCCCACCCGCAGACTTCCCGGACTCCCGGCCGGCCGTCGAGGACCTCAAGTACTGCCTGGAGAGGACGGACCAGAGGCAGCAGCTGCTGGTGTCCCTCAAGGCTGCGCTGGAGACACGGCTGCTCCACCCAGGTGTGGCCCTGCCTCCGGCCCGGGCCCCAGGCCGCGGCGGGTTAACGAACAGCGTTGGGGTCTTTGGGGGCAGGCCTGGGGGCGGGCGGCGCATGAGCCCCTGACACAGTCTGCTTGCGGGGGGCGCCCAGATCCGGGGAAGCCCAGGAGAACCCCATGCGAGTGGCAGTGGGAGGGGCTGGCCCCGTCCCTGCAGATGTCCCGGGGCGTGGGGCGTGGGGCGTGGTGGCCACCGCACACAGCCTGGCCTGCCGGGTGCCGTCCGCACACCCCCACCGGCTCTAGCCTCCTCCCCTGCTGCAGGCGTCAACACGTGTGACATCATCACCCTCTACATCTCGGCCATCAAGGCGCTGCGGGTGCTGGATCCCTCCATGGTCATCCTGGAGGTGGCCTGTGAGCCCGTCCGCCGCTACCTGAGGTGAGCCCCGCACCGCGGAGCTCCTCCCTGGCTCCGCCTTGTCGCTCGGTGTCACCACGCGCCCGCCCGTCCCATTCCCAGCACGGAGACGGCCCGGTCTGACGGGAGGAGGGGACCCACCACAGGGGCAGCCTCGGCCAGAGAGGACGCTGGGCTGGGAGCCACGTCACAGCCACCCGGCCGCCCCGCCGACCCCGGGCAGCCGGGGCAGCAGGGCTGGAGGTGCCTGGGGCTGCCCCGACTTGCACCTGTCACGTCTGTGCCAGGAGCGGCCTGGCCGTGGGCCATCGGGTCATCTCAGCCCCTGCTGCTCCCAGAGAGCGATGGTTTATTTTGTTTTATTTCGTTTCTTAAGCAAAAGCTTGAGAGCTCGTCTTTGGCCCCAGCCGAGGTCCTGGTGGGGTGGGGGGAGGGCGCTGTTGCGCTGCATCCTGAGGCCACGGGCTCACGCCGCAGGACGCGGGAGGACACGGTGAGGCAGATCGTGGCTGGGCTGACGGGGGACTCGGACGGGACGGGGGACCTGGCTGTGGAGCTGTCCAGGACGGACCCGGCGAGCCTGGAGACCGGCCAGGACAGCGAGGATGATGCCGGCGAGCCCGAGGACTGGGTCCCCGACCCTGTAGACGCCGACCCAGGTCCGCACCCGCCAGCCTTGCCAGGCCCTGCGTTGGGGGGGGGGTGTCCTCCTGGGTGGCGCTGTGGGTGCCAGGTCGTTGCCACGTGTGCTCCGAGGCGTGGGGGGTCAGAGGTCAGTGCCCAGCCCACAGCCAGTGGGCCTGCCCACTGGGGTTTTGCTGCCGCCTCTGTCCCTGCGTGGTGCCAGCGGCGCCCCCTCCCCACGCTGTGCAGGGAAGTCCAGCTCCAAGCGGCGCTCCTCCGACATCA